ATTAGGGCCTTCCTGTCGTTGTTGTTGTTCCTGTTCTTGTTGCACGACCGGGCCGCCAGGCCGCCACTCAATCAGTCAGTCAGCCGTCCTCCAGCAGACAAGGGGGCAGAATGAATCTTGTGTAACTCACTCGATCGACTGACCCCCTTTGCCTGTTCGCGCCAGAGAAAGGGGACGATTGGGGTTGTGGTTGTTGCTTGAGTTGTTTGTGCGACACTACTTGGCTCCGTCCATATACCCTGCACGCCCTGCAAACCATGGATTCATGGCTTCGTATTTTCACGAATATGGACATGGACATGGCTGCTGCCTCAGTCAGTGAGTCGATCAATCAGTCAGTCCGTCAGTCAGTCAACATCTCTGGTCAATCGATTTTTGTGTACCACGGCCCCTTGAACCCTTGATTCTTTGTGCAACGGGGACATTCCCCTTCCAGGGAAATTTGACGTCTTCCCTTTTCCGTACCTGAGAATACAATCGCAAAGGGCAAGAGGAAGAGTCTGAGGAACACAGGCACTTGTACACTGTACACTGTGCCTTGGACCGCATACGATGAGGGTCATATGTTTTCAGTAAACTCCGGATCAGTTGGGACGTTAGTTGGTCAGTCGGCTCCGATCACACCCTGCCAGCATGCATCGTGAGTCTAAAACACAAGAGGGAGGAGGGCATTCTCATATGGGATCCTTGTCGTGTGGGTGTGTATATGTATGCAGCCGGCGGCGGCGCATAATGGACCTAAGTGCAGAGGGGAGCTCTCGTCGGAGCAGTATAGACGGATTCCCGGACCATGGGGTTGCTCTCCCCCAGTCACTTCTTCTGACGTGATGAGCAGCTGGAGAAGGATGCGGCTCGAGAGATCCATCAAGGGCTGCATGCCACTGACCGCGTCTGATTCGCAGTCGTGGCCATTGCCATTATCCGTCCGTGAAACAATTGGTGATATCCTCTCCCTCGCGATGGACCTTGTCAAGACAACCCCTTGTCCTGGGATCAATGCACAGTATAGTGGCCATAGCTCAGTCAATGCAATCCCTACAAAATGTGCCGCGACATTCGTGAACCGACGCCTGTGTTCGGCAGAGAGGTCACAATCCGGTGTTGGTGGCCTCTCGAATGGAGCATCGCAACCATTACAAACCCCTCTTGGCCAACTCCCAACTCAGATGGTTCTTCAGTTGTCCGCAAAGACGAAAATAGTGGTGGTGGTGGTCAGACCTGAACCTGATAATCTGCGGGACGGGGAAAGGATTGTAGTCCGGCAGACCTTCGACGCGCGCCAGTGACTTCGCAGCATGCAATGGATGTAAATATATATCGGTATTTTCAAGGTCGCAACCTTGCTTTACCCATTTGCATTATCGTCTTCCTGCTGCACGTTGGATGACCTGGCCAGTATGGTCGCTTGGTCAGGACGATTTAACGAGTGGACAACTAGTCCTGACGGGGACAGATCTTGTGCCGATAATACGGGGAAGAATCGGGGATTCTAGTCTCGTGTTCGGAGCTGCAACCGGAATATAGAACATAACAAAGGTAGGAGGGGAAGCGGACAACTGATCCGTAGTGCGTGATGAGTTTGGTGAAGCGACAAGATGACAAGGACGCAATTACGCACTCGAGCAGGTGTATTGATGAAGTTGTTCATGGTGGTATTGGGAGATTCTGGCTGTGATTGACGTCGCTCCAGCTCCAGACATTCACTCGGTGAGAAGGTCGATGTGAAGTCTCTTCCACGTGGTTCGTGATCTGTGTATCGCCTTTTGCTTCGGAGATGGATGGCTCCCAGGGCCAATGGGGCCTCAGACGATCGAAACCCAAAGGCCGCCTCTGAGTTTCAAGGGCAGACCCGGATCGGATAGTGCATATCTCGTGTTGGACTCTGCATCGCTGCGTGGACATTGTCTTGTCAACCACTCCATCCTCCTTGGCCAGGGGTCTACTGCTCCCTCTGTCGTATGACAATGCCGCCAACGAGTGTGAGTCGATCGAGTGTGGTTGTCTGTCGAGCTTAGCATTCATGTTCCACAAGGGTCAAGACCCAGCTCACGAAGCAAGCAGGACGACAGCGCCAAAGATGTACCTGGTTTCGACAAAACCCGTCACGCGAATCCCGACCAACAACGCTCCTGATCATCCATTGTCGTCGCTGCCGCCCGCAACAATATCTCCAGGAAGCAACCCTGAGGTGAGAAATCGTGCCTTGAGTAGACAACATCACGGCCCAGGGTACATACGGACCAGTCAAGGAGCGGGCAGTAGTTTCTTGATTAACAAGTTGTTAGCCATGACTGCGGCAGGGAGTCAGGTAAAAACCCTCTCTGAGCCGACGAAACCAGAAAACCCATCGCCTGTCTTATCGCGGCACATTTCAGCCAGGCGGGAGTGCCTTTCGCCAACCTGGGCTTTCGGAGAGAGAGAGAAGGGGGGTAAGGGGAAGAATTCTTCAGACATGTCACAATCAAATTGATTTGTGCGTGGAGAAGCGCAGCTCGCCTATCCATCATCCTCCTAAGCGAGTGTCTGGCACATCAGCCAAAAGCAGAGCAGGACAACTGGACAACTTGGATGGAAAAAGGACCAAGGAAACCCAAGCTCGGGCTACCTCATCAACATCCAATCCGCGGATGCTGCTAAAGGCGGTGGCGTTGGTGTCGGCACCAGCCAGCACATTGCAGATCTGCCATGCAAATATCACATATAGTATTGGTCGAGGGATGATGTACTCGGTACTCACAGGTCGCTGTAGCTACTCCGCAGTACTAATAGTACTAGGACTACCGAGTAGTCCTGGCAGAATAGTCTCGCCTGCACAACAATCAATGCACAACGCACAACGCACAATGACAGGATAGGACGCAGTGAAACCTTGTCAGTCAATCAAGGAGGCAGGAGGGGATGTGCAGCACGGTGCAGGGATCTCGGAACAAGCAAGGACACCTTTACGGGTGGAGTTTGTAGGAAGAGAAAGACGTTGAAGCTCCTCTATAAAAAAGGGGGTCGAGATATACCTCGTACAAGTATATGTGTCACTGTCGACGTCAAGTCAGTACCTCTTATCTGGGTGTAACATGGACCACAGAATAGGGTGGCTGGAGGGTCATTGATAATCATTCGCTATGTCGATTATATGGGCCTAGAACATGGCGATACAGTAGCGAGCAAAAATCCAAAAAATTGGCAGTTTTGCCGAGGGCATATCGTTGTAATAGCGAGTAGTTCCGCCTACAACGTAAAAAGCGGTGTATAAAGAATAGGTCGCTATGTAAGGGGTACAGCGTCCTATAATTCATCTATAGGCTTAATAGATTACTCGTTACTATATCTCCACGTAAATAGCCTTTTATAACGCGGTAGTAATGCCTTTAGGCGTGTTACGACCTGGCCAGAGGAGAGACCCGATGCCACGAACGCCCACGTGACACTAGACACTCTGCTTAGGCCACTAACTAAGGAGTCAGGCCGCTAGCTAAGTATCTGGCTTACCGTATGTACATAGTAAGAGGGGTCATACCTGTCAACCTTAAAGCCTCTTTAAGCGTTAATATCTCCATCTATAGGCTAGTTATCTATCATTATCGATCCTATAGTATATACATTCACCCTCCAGTTAGCTAACTAGTCTGATACCCGAGGAGGGGCGGGAGAGTAGGCCATGACAGGCTAAGGAACAAAGCATATAAAAGTACTAAGAAGCGGCTAGGCCTAAAAGGGCACTAGACTGTATACTCTATAGTGGACTGCGACAGAGTAGTACAGAGCACTACAGAGCGGGAGGCACTAGACTGTATACTCTATGATGGACTACCACAGAGTAGTATAGAGCACTATAGAGCGTTAACGAATCTCCTTCCTATATAGTTAAGATAACTTCCATAGTTCTCCTTCGTAGTCAACTTCGTTCACAAATAATCGAGTTCCTTCGGTTATATACTTTACGTATAGTCCCGTATACTATACTCTTAGTTTCGTCTCTACTATATCGTTCTACTACTATATCACTAAGCAAACTACTTCGAGTTTACTACCGGTACCTCACGTGTAAAGCAGCTCGTGATATATAAGGACACTCCTCTCCCTTAGATAGTTAAAGTCTTCTATAGTCGAATAGTCATACCTATCGGTTCGATCCTATAATGAGCCTATCTATTACCTATCTAGGTAATCCTCCGAGTCCTCTGAACAATAGTTATAGACCCAGGTAGTACTGGAGTAGCCTCTACTAGCTCCCGAGAGGTCAGAGATAATAGCCTTAAGGGCGTTAGCGTTACTATAGGCCGATTTACTCTCGTTAGCGCGGCTGAGGCGCGTACTTCTAGGAGGCGGCGAGAAGGTGTCGGTTCACGGCGAGGTCGCGTAGACATACTAATATATTCCCATGTACTATAGGATAGCTATTTACTATGTAAATTATGCTGTTCTAAAGTGCGTAGACCTACACCGTTATATACGTATATGGCGGTGTAACTCTTGTTGTGCCCTCGGCAAAACTGCTAATTTTTTGGATTTTTGCTCGCCACTGGACAAGAGGAGTTCCATCGACGCCCAGCTCACCTCGCGCCTCACCCGACCGGCGCCGCTTTTAAAACACCACTCACCAAAATCGTGCGCTATTACTTCGGTGTTAGGAATAGCCTACTATTATCCTTATCTATTATAGTACCTAAATCCTATTAATAATTACTAGGATTCTTAGTTTTTTACCCTAGGTAGGAGATCGAGGTACTATCTCTGACATTCGGGGTCGCATCTATTAACTAATCAGAGTGCGGGACGAAAGCCACCCAAAAGTCTACTAAAGTTTGCCACTTCCTGCCATAATCTGCCAGCTGCATGTGACGTCGGTACGTGCGGCCTCGTGTAGCCTCGTGTAGCGCTGGTCCGTGGCATCATAGGGCGGATTTTGTTGTGCCTGGTTAGATCTGGCGCGGTTCTTGACGATACCCACCCCTCCGGCGGTGTTGAGCCCCTTCGAATACCCACGCCACCTGTCCCTGACATCAGGTAAACCACCAGATGGCTATGAAGCCTGTACTTGGGTTGGTGACCTGATGAGTGACGTTCGTGCTATTAGGCACTGAATAGTCCTGAAAGCGGATATTTCGACCCTGGACAAAGCCTACAACAGCATGGGACATGAGGGTATCACTTGTGTAAATGACGCCGAATTCCCGTATATTCGAATTTGAAAGTACTATTTGCTGAACCTGTGGATATCGGCCAAGGGCTCGCTCCGCCGCGTCCATATCTTCGTCAGTGGCATTAGGTGAGAAAAACCTATTCGGCCAAAAAGCATGAAATCCGAATCCTGGAAAGCTTTGGCCCATTTGTTGGATCTGTGGCCACGTCAAACCCTGATTTCCGAATTGAATCGTGGGAAAACGCTGTTGCAGTTGTGGTACCGTCAAATTGAGAAGTACAGCCATAGTTGTGGGAGCACAGAGTGCTTCCGCTTCCCCAGTGTTGATTGGAGCATACATGCCAGGTCGTTGACGTAGGCGGTTGACAGTAGGACTATCCCATTCGGCTGCCTGATTATTCGGGTTGGCTTCGTTATCTGGTGAAAGTCGTCCCCTTGGCACCGGCGATATGGAGAGACGTGAGGTATCCTGTGGGTGACTTTCGTCCGGAGGCTCTGACATCGTTGATCTCTCGGCCGAAGTAGAGAACCGAGAGCCTGTAGAGCTGTGCTTGGCCATGGTAATTTACTGTGAATAACGTAGTATAGTGGTGATTAAAGATTAAGAAGACTTCACTTGTAAATCATAGCGAAATTCTAGCCGTTTAGATACGAACACGGATATTTATACGACTTTTCTTAATGGAAAGGACCATTATAAGGGGAAAAAAAAGATCCTCACTAGTGTGGACGTAAATATATTACACTAGAGAGAGTAATGCTCCACGGAAGGATTTCTGGTATAGGGCTAATAGGCACAGTGGCTATCACGGAATTACTCTAAACAAGCCAATTCTATGCCAGCTTAGCTTATCCATTTCCTTCGTAGAGCTATTCTAAGCATTTAACAGAGGAGCGTAGGATTTTAGACAGCCATCGGTAATTGCAGCTTAATATTTTCGGCCCTTGATATAGAGTTCTTGCAGGGGTCAGTGTGAGGGTTTGGAAAGAGTTCTGCAACTAGCTAGCCGACCTAGTAACAAGGAGGATAAACATGAGGAGAGAAGAAGAAGGAGGAATACTCCTCTCTCTCCTTATGTCGTACACTCCTCTGTAAGGAGTACCCATTGTCTTACCCTTTCTCTTTTATCCTTCCTCTTCCGTACATGCTAATCTTTCCTTGCATGCGCTCCTTACGCCTTTATCTCTCCTCCTTACATTCCCTTACGTACGGAGCCTCAGTTGTCAGGATCCTGCATCCCTTGCACCGTCTATCTCGTCCAATCAGGAGGCCGCATTTTACCTGTACATTGTACAGGCAAAGTTCGACCAATCAGGAGGTGGCATTAGTATGGCGTTCTGTCTTGGCGCTGGTTCGCCAGAACCGAGCCTTCTCCTGGGTTCAACCCATCACCGTCAGCAGAGCCAAATCAATGAAGTCGCAAGGATTAAGCGGCAGATTCTATTGTCAGATTTGTCGAGGTGAAGCTTCCAGATAGAGTGTGAGCATATACTGATGTGGGACGAGTCAGGAGTATCTGACATCAATTACACATACTGAAGAAAATCTATTCAGGGGATCGTTGAAGGCGGAACATATGCGGGCACGCCACCTAGCACGCATTTCATACCGCAAGCACTTTGGTCACATCCTGTCAGGAACGGCCTATATAAATAGGCAGAGGGTAGCGATAGGTAAGAGGTAGGTATAGGTATTCCTTGATAGTACATCTTAACTAAGACTCAAAGCATGAGGTAAGCTCCCTTCCCTCAGGCGGTCACCCAGGGGGTGACAGAATTCTGTCCCCACTATTAGGGTATTCTGCCGGGAATTCCTGCCTCATTGGGGACGGAATTCTGTCATCCCCTGGGTGGCGGTGAGTCTTAGTTAAGATGACTCAAAGCATGAGGGAAAGGAGCTTACCTCAGGCGGTGAGCACGCGGTGCTTGGTTAATAAGTGGTTGTCGCGTGCGTGTTGTACTTGGTGGTTCGTAATGCGCTTACGGTTCCCGGAACTGGATAATTAAAGTGACAATCTATAACGGCACAGCACATTAAGGAAAGAAAACAGGACGAACTCTACTAGCTGGTATGGATTGCTCAATACAAAGAGACTAAACTAGAGGGAAAGGAAAAGATCGAGGTTGCTCGAACCCAGACTGCGGCGAGAAATACTTTGGCCTACTAAAACTTCAAGGCTTGCCGACTCGTAGCCTTACTAAGGCTTCGACTAGTCCGATCGCGGACCACTACTTCGGGGCCGCATCTAACTAATCAGAGCGCGGGACGAAAGTAGTCTACTAAAGTCTGCCACTTCCTACCATAGTCTAGTAGCTGTATATAGCGTCGGTACGTGCGTCCTCGTACAGCGTCGTACAGCGCTAGTCCGTGGCATCATGGCGCGAGTTATGGTTAGATCTGGTACGGTTCGGGACACAGTCCATTTATTAAGAAATGTCTATGGAAATCGGCAGAGAGCAGCGGTGGATACTCCCCCTTCTCGCTGGTTTATGATAAGTCTTTAAGCATCAGAGGATGAATGAGCTGCTCATGCGAGGAATAGATACGACTGTTGCCCCTCTCGGCGTTCGTTCACAACACCATTGGCTTATCTGTACCCTGAAGTCTAATCTCTGAGCACTATATTGTCACGAACACCCATGTGACACTGCACACTCAGCTCAGGCCACCAACCAAGGAGTTCGTTCACAACACCATTAGCTTATCTGTACTCTGAAGTCTAATCTCTGAGTCAAGTGTACCCAATTTCAGTCAAAGCTTGCATGACCAGCTGTTGGATGACATCTGGATGAGGGTGTTTCCACTGGTTTCCTTCCTGGTTGATATCTGGGTGGGTGTTTTCTCGCTGGTCTCCTTCCTGATTTAAATTTGGGTGGCTAGTGTCGTCGTCATCGCCGTCCTTGCTGTGTTCCAAATCTTGTCCTAGCGACTCTGAGTCCCCAATTGCGACAGCGCAATCCAATTCGTTATGCTCTCCATCCTCGCCGTACTCCTCGTTGCAGTCCCAGTTGTCGGCGCCGTCGTCTAGGTTGGGATCGTCATAGTCGCCGTGATCGGAGTGCTCCTCGTAACCGGTATCCCAACCATACTCCTCAATGTCGTCTCTCTGATAGTATACGTCTAGGGAGCTGTGGTGGTAGGACATTTCCAAGCAATCGTTGTCCAAGTGCCGTCTATTTGCCAAAGAAAGATAAGACAAATTGTGTACAACCCTAAGGTCATCCCATGACTAGTAGTTATAGTCATTTAAGGCTATATCCTAAATCTCCTACGTCGCTTCCTTACCACAAGTTAGCCGGAAATAAGACTTAATATGTACGCCTTACCACACTGTGGATCATGAGGGGCGGCTTCTAATTCAAAGAAATCCATAACTCAAGCCATATTTATTAATAAACAGTAGGAGTATAGACTAGAGCACATAAGCTGACCGACCCTAACCATGAAAATTGAAACTTGGGCGTTGCACTGGATATTACCCAGTTTGTGTAAGACACCCACTCAGACAAGTCCTTGTCCCTTACCTATATCAAAGTCGGCGGTGACATGGGCCGAGTCGGATAAGCCCGCCTTTTGGTACTCCGGGTTTCCTCAAGGTAGTGGCCTGACCCGACCAATTTTAACGCCTACATAAAAGCGTTGTCCCTTTCAGAAGCGTACCATCGACGCCCAACATTTTACAAAGTATGGATTCACATTACGACTTCGACTCGTCCGGCGACATAGAGGACCTGGTGAGACGGTTGTCTAAGGCAGCGAACCACTATGAGACAGTCCACAACGATAAAGGTAAACGTGACCAAACATTACCTTTAATGGCTAGTACTTTACCTAACCGGTGTAGAACAAAGCGAGGAAGACGTACAGCGCCAGCTGCATTACATTTCAAGAGATATTGCCTGGCTGGCCCGAGATCTATCGAAACACTTCCCACACATTCAGGCATTGGAATTACTGCATAGAGACTGTTGGCACGCTTTCCTTGGAGAATTCGACGGCCACAAGGGCGTTCATCCTGATACGCACAAGAATTATGATGTCAGTCTTATCTATGGGAGACATAGGGAAGATTAAGAAGGGTCTAGTGATGGCATTAATAGTGGAAATTAAGAGGCCTAGAGGGATATTTTAGTCGAATCTAGGTTAGGAGACACGATTTCCTAGGTGAATACTGTTAACCGTAACCGTCCTCCTTTGAATAGTATACGCTGCGCACGACTTGTTCAGTGATCCTGTCACGAACTGCTAAGCATAACTTACACGTGACAACCCCTTATTATTTAAGCACTTTATTATCACGAACACCCATGTGACACTGGACACTCAGCTCAGGCCACCAACTAAGGAGTTAGGCCGCCAGCCAAGCAGCTGGCTTATCGCATGTATATAGTAGGAGAGATCATACCTATTAACCTTGAAGCCTTCTTCAAGCGTTGACATCTCTATCTATAGGCTAGTTATCTATCATTCTCGATCCCATAGTATATACATTCTCCCTCCAGTTAGTTAATTAGTCTGATAATAAGTGGCTAAAAGTGGTTTAGGCTCGTCCGGCTCGGTATCTTCCCGAGTGGCCTATTAACCCCTTTTACTAAAGGCCGTGTAGGTGGATACTTCTCCACTTTAAGTACTATACTCCTCTTATACGGTTTACTTTAGCTTCCTACGCTATTTATAATAGGGGAGCCATATACTCTATTATGTGAGGGTTTAGAAAGAGTTCTATAACTAGCTAGCTAACCTAGTAATAAGGAGGATAAATCTAAGGAGAGAGAAGGAGGAATAACGTCCCCTCCCTCTCTCCTTATATCGTATACTCCTCCGTAAGGGGTACTTAATGTCTTCCTCTTTCTCCCTTATCCTTCCTCTTTCGTACACGCCTTACGTTTCCCTTACCTTTGTCTCTCTTCCTTACCTTCCCTTACGTACGGTGTCTTAGTTTACTAGGGTTTGGTATCCCTTGTACCGTACGTGCCTTATCTAATCAGGGGGCTGTATTTATATAGGTAAATTCGGCTAATTAGGAGGTGGCGTCGGTCCTAACGTTAGTCTTAGCGCTGGTTCGTCAGAACCGAGCCTTCTCCTGGGTTCAACCCATCACATATTATACTCTATTACGCTCTTAGGATTAAATAGAGCTAGGGAGAGTATCGCTAAAACTTATTAGCTCTATAGTTTCTATACCTCCAATAGTCTTCCTTATAGTTAACTTTATTTATAAATAATTAAGTTTCTCTTAGTTATATACTTTACGTATAGTCCCGTATACTATGCTTTTAATTTTATCTCTACTATACCGTTCCGCTACTATATTACTAAGTACTGAGTAAACTACCTTAGGTTTACTACTGATACCTCACGTGTAAAGTGACTCGTAACAGTATAGTGACTCCAGCGCTCAGCCCCCAAGAGAGACGAGAGGCGACCCACGTGTTCACTGCAGTGTCGACGCATGCGAACCTTTGCAAAATCAGGAGCCTTACAAATAGTCTACCCTCGTCCGTATGACCTACGCATAGGCCCGCTCTGAAGCATGCAAAGATAAATTTTTGCGGTTTTTCTTCCCACACGCGCAGATTCCGACCGAAGCCCCGGAGAGCAGTCCAACCGCCTTACTCTGACCATGGACCTCGACTAGCGGCGTTCGCAGACCTGCTCATCGAGAACTTCTTCCTCCCCTGTTTAACGAAGTTGGACGATCTCGATCTTTTTAATCATCAGCTGACACTCAAGTGTCCCTTTAGTGAAAGCCTCGATGAGAAAAACGTCCACGTCGGAAGGATGGTGGTTCACCAACCGGCTCGGGCGCATGGATCGTTGCCTCGGGGGTTGTGAGATAGGACGGAAATATTGGCCGCATTCGAGATCAGCATAGTAGTCGACATCCTCGAGGCTGAAGGTGGAATGCTTGACGAAAGGAAAATCCGGACAGCCTAGCGCAGCAAAAGGCAGACAACCCCACAGGCGACGAGAAACAAGGGGAATCAATGAATCACACGAGGACAACGCTCTCCACGCTTGCATTCCTACTAGTGGTAGTGGCGATGACAAATACAGTGACAGTGGCATAGATTCAGATGCACCAGCATCCGGAATGAACGTCCTCTTTTGGAAGGGGATGCGCGGAGTGGCCACCTTGATCCGATCCGATCCTCTAGCCTCGAATCAGGCCGGGGCGTAGGTAGAACAAGGTGACAACAGCCTGAAAGACTAGGTCCAGGTGTATGGACGTCAACGGAAGCGGCTCCACCGGCCGTCGCAAGCCCGGTCGCGGTATCGGGACGTGTACGCGACATCTGAAGGGTCGGTGGAGGGCATACACGCGAGCGATAGAGAGCCATCGCAAGCCGTGCTCGAGCTGCTGCCGCTATCTATCTCAGCAGCATGGCAGGGCGTGTACCAAATACCGGCCGTACTCTTCGCTAACGAGAATGATCTTCGACTGAACGATATGGCATGTGTCTCATCTGTCCGGCTGATGCAAGCGAGCTAGGATACCAGGCTTTGCGCTCTCAGCGACATGTGTAGTCAACCTGTGTCGGAGTGTCCGAGGTGCAGTCCTCTCCAGGTAATGGCCAGAGTCGCCACCGAGTAGAAACGAACGAGGACCACCACAGCGCTAGGAATGCTCTCATTCAGAACCACGTCCCCGCAACGCAGCCTAGATGGAGAGAGGCGCGCACGCCTAGAGCGTCACTCTACTTACGCATAAATAGAGGCAGCTGCCCGGTTTAGAGCGTAAGGCGAGAGGCCCGACACGGGCAGGAGGTAGTTGTAAGCCTAATCTAGCGATTAGGGAGGCCAGCATTCTCTTCGGAAGGTAGAGGGCCGACAGGATTAGTCGACGGTGGTCGTAAGGAAGGAGGAACGCCATCTTCTTTAGCTGCCACGCATTTGGAGCGGTCGAGTGGGACCTGCAAGGGGACGGGCAGCAGCGTCGAGCAGCGTGGATCGAAGGGAAGGAAAATCGTCGAAGCGGCGAGAGGGATTCTTTATGAATATATCTTCTGGTCCCTTCAGAGTAGGGCGGGTCGACTCGGTTTTGCAAATATGTGGTCGAGGTCGAGGTAGCAGCCTTCTCAACGTGGAACCAGTAGCGCCGCTTTTAAACACCTCCTCCCGTTTAACTGGTTCACGACGGTGCATTCGAATGGCCAATAATAGAGGACGCATCCTTCTCCACCGGGGCGAGCCCGAGTCGATCGTCTGCCTGGCGCCCAGGCGCGAGGCGTCGCGGCCCCTATGGAGGGTGAGACACGGTTGACAGCTCACCCAGGCAAAGGCCTGACTCGCGCGCGCCCCGGGGGGGGGGGGGGGGGGGGGTGGGAAGCACAGGGCGGCGTCACCTTCGTCCCAAAGAGGGGTGAGCTCGCTCGTGATTTTACCTCCTTTTGGCTAAGAACAGAAAATCTTTCGTATACGTTGTAGCTCCAATCCCCGAAAATTCCACACGGTAACACATTTGATAGAGTCACTCCAAAGCATCCTTTCAATCCACTGGCCGTGGTCCGCAACGTGCTGTTCAACAGACACTGCCACTCCCCAAATCTATTTTACCGCAAGTCCCCAGCGCACGCTACATAAAATTCCGGACTCGGGATATTCGCTTCGGTGAGGGTCTGAGATGACTCACTCTATTTCTTATCAAAATACACCGTCTGCTTCTCCCCTTTCTCAGCGTACCTCTGCATCCGCTTCTTCGCCATGCTTCTTTCCAACAACACGCCCACAACCGCCACGCCCACACTCGCCGCCTCGAGCACCAGCAGCCCCGCAATCAGGCCCTGACTCACCTCACTTTCCATGCACAACCTCTTGAAGCCCGCAGGTATCGGGATCCCGTGGGATACGTACACTGGAATTTGTAGGGAGTGGGCATCGGCCATGAATTGCGAGGCACCGTGGGAGAATTTGCATGTCCATGATTGGATCGAGTCTCGTTGATGATGAGATGCGAAATTGGTGAGAATGCTGTTGAAAGGGATGGCGAAGAGGGCGAGGACAATGCCTGCTAGAGAAGAAGCAAGGAAGAGAAAATTGTACATGAGCGTACGGGAGTAAGGCTGTTCCCCAGATTAGAATAAAGTCATCGAGAAGCGTCCAGAGGGAAATATTTACCGTTGGAACGAGCGATACAACCACATAACTGAGACTGAGGATGATGATGAGGGTGGCTGCAATCAAAACGGCCAAAGTTGGCCTCACATCCACATTCGTCGGCCAAAGCGGTGGTAGATGCCACTTGGAACCCATGTGTGTTTTGTTATAGCTGTGCAAAACATGTCCCTCACAGCCCACAGCGGCTGTGGCAGTGGCAATGGTCAATATTGCCAGCGTACATCGAATCCACTGGAGCCATTTCGCCTGGCGTAGATAAGCAGATTCCTGGGCCGAAGATGCCGAGTGACGAGAATGTAAGGACGATGTAAGGAGTGGCGATGGTTGGATCAAGAGAGCGGATGCGTCGTACGCTGGAGTCGGTGGTGGTTCGAGTTTGTTCATGCTGGACTGGGGCTTCGGTGGACTGTTGAAGCGAGTCCCGCTTTCTGAAGACCAAGTAGGTTGGGAGGTGGTAAAGTGATTCTCCATGATATACAGAATCAAAAGGAAAAGCAAGTCAATCGACAACAGAAGACAGAACCTTTGGAAGATGGTGGAATGCGAAACCAGCGCCAAACAGACCAGAACTTGAACACAAGTGCCAGACAAGAGAGCATCGAGAAATAGACGAGGCTCTGTACTATTATATCCCAGCCGTATGATTCCTTCATGCACACTCACCTGGCCAAATGCATTTCACCTACAGTAGTGCCTGATCTATTCAAAGATCGTGCTTGTCTCTGACCGACCTCGCCGGCCAGCTCCAGACGAATCATCTTTCGAGTATCACCACCAGCAATACATGTTCGGCGGTTAGAAGGCTTGATCGATGAATGAAACAATCAATGCGCTGAGATGTGGGAATAGGAAGGATGACAGCCAGACGCTGTCCAAGCAAAGATGCAGGGGGGGATGGAGGAGCATCTGGGAGAATGAAATGACGAAGAGAGATTGAACGACCAGTGGGTCTCCAGCGCTTAGCTAATGGCTTGGCTCCTTTAAGAGCATCCATTGGCCAGTGAGCAGGCGCATGCAGGGCGCTAATCATATTTATAGTATGGCCCAAACGAGTAAGACCCACATTGTGTAGTTCAGTGGCTTCTGACTGGCCAGTCGGGCTTCATCTGCCGATCTTCTGCTTGGATCAACTCGCCAGCACACAACTCACCATCCTGATAATCATCAGCCACTCTGGCAAAAAGCCCAGCATCATTTGTTGCCGGCTCTTCTGCTCCAGCTGCCGGTGTACGAGGAGAGAAACCGGCTTCCACGCACATTGGCTCGCATCTGGGACTGTATCCCTGTGCAAATCCCGTCCCATCATTGGCCCATCTCCTTCCACCATCATCCCAGGCAAAGGCAGTTCTAGCCTGCGATCCGCGACTTCATGGCATGCTGAAAAGCAGATAGATGAGGAAACTAATTCCTCTATCTTCTGCTCGCTTCCGCATCAATGCCACTCTGCCATGACCCAGACCCTTCTCTTCCACTAGGTAAAACTTCGTCTTCCGCATCTCTCCCCACCGGCCATGCTTGAAACGGTTACACCATGGGCCACCAAATGGGTCTTCGTACCTCCTGGCCCGCCAAAATCTTAAACGCATTCCATCTCTCAACCAGTTTCGGCGTTGCTCTGTCCCATGACAAGTTGAGTGCCGACGCACCTCTCTCCACATGACTTGCACTTCATGCATAACATACTGAGATGCTGGTGAATGAACTTGAGTCTTCCTTCCGAAACCAGTATCTTCTTCGCCGGATTCGGGACATCGGAGAATTTCTCAACTTTGACCAGCGCAACCTTATGCACGCTCGGACCTCTTGGTCTTTTAGTCAATATGACCTGTCACATTCTGCTTCCCCGGGAGCTGATGTTCTCGATACTCTCGTATCGAGGCTGCTGCTCGTGGAGGGGTGAGTTCACGGGTAATTCGAGTACCAGGTCTTCACACCGCGTCGAATATGGAAGCGACCTTTTCGAGGGCTTGCACTTCCTCCGGATCCACCCGCTTGCCAGACAATACTGTCGAATCTTCTCCCGAGGCTTCGCCATGGCGCTCAAGATGTGATCGCGTTCGCTGCTCGATATAACCTCTGCGCTCCTCTTTGAGTTCATCCTTGGCACTCGAGATGTTTTTATCTGTATCTTTCAACGAGGCCAGCTTAGGTCGCAATTCGGCGAGCAACGACTTGAGGGCGGGGAGCTGTGAAACGGCGAATTTCGTGTTGGTGGTTAAACGGCGATTGTCAGGGTGCTGGGTTACATTGAGAGTCTGACCAGATGCGCCGTTCATGAGGAATGACAGGCTGTTTGCGGAGTCGGGGGAATCGCCGATCAAACTTCTCAGTTGTTGCAGGATTGCCTCATTGCGCCTATACTCTTCTTTGAGGGCATGTGAGACAGTCCTCGTGGCGGCCAGCTTGCGCCGCAGTAGTTGCACGTTATCAACTGTGGGCGCGTTCGCCGGAGGTGGGAATGATATGTTCTGCGCGCCGTTAGCTGGAATTCCCGAGTCGCTCGCTCTTCTGCACAGTTACTCGCCCACCTCGTAATGACTCAACTGGACCCAGTTGACCAATTCTGTAGGCACAGACAGGATATTCCTCAGCACATATATCTCAAACTTGTCAAAATTCTTATCGACCGTCGAGTTGAGCAGTGTCTCAAGTTTGTGGAGGCCTTCTTCGATCTCTTTCTTTGCCTCGGGGAACTCCAAGTCTTCCACGCCATCATCGCTGACAGTCTTGACGGCCTTGAAGCCCAACTTCTCGGGATGCGTTGACAGAAGTCCGGTTTCCAGGCTGCCGACTCCTTGGTAAACGAAGTTGTTGACCGAGTTGATTATGTCGTCAATCAGTGACTGCGGCTCGTTAGCATTCGAAAATGGCTATTATGTCATCGCAAGTGACTTTACCAAAGGCGTATACTGTAGATGCTCAGTCAAGAGCGACGTCGCCCCTTGCGAAGAATCGGCCATGACGCTGCTCTCAAAGGAGGGGAAGGGAAAAATGTATTAACTGTGTAGAGGGTGATGATGTCGTGTTTACTGTATGACACGCGCCACGCCCAATGTTTTGGGTCTTGGGGCTCACGGGCTGCAACTCCGGGCACCCACGGCACCCCGGGGCCAGTCGGCGAGTCGGGAAACTACGGCCATCAAATGACAACTGAAATGACATTTCTCTTCGCACTCACTTGACAACCACTTTCGCACCCACCCACCTCATCTCCCGCACATCAGCCCCGTCCATCTCTTTATCACCAGTCAGACCTCCAAAATTACGCAGCTGAGACGATCACGCCCAGTGTCATTCTCGAACCTCGACACTTCTGGCCCAAGTTCACCATGGGTGGTCCAGGCGTAAGTTGCTGCTTGACTTTCACCTTTCATCGACGCATGCTAATCAGCTCCCTTTAGTCAGGAGGGTACAAAAACAAACCAGGTGATACCGAAACTCATTCAGCATGGGATATTATTCCTCAAGATCCAGAGGGCACTCAGGTATGGCCTGGCGCATCATCATCATAATCATGTTCTGCCCTAACACCTCTCACTAATGTCCACCCAGAAGCTGGCGCAGGTGCGATGCAAATACTGCAGCAGAGAAATGGCCCAGCATACCTCCCGACAGCGCGTCCACCTTCTCAGCTGCCGAAACTACCTTGACGCGATGAAAGAACAAGGCATCGAGAACAGTATTACTCGTCAAGCCGCCGATCCTCAAGCATTTTTTAGAAGCTCTGACTGGGCGCAAAGAACCACCGAGGCAAAGGCTCCAAAGGTCCTCAAAATGGGCGATCACACTACCGCTGTGCGCATTCAGGCATTGGCGCTGGCGGAAGCGAGCATTGCATACGATCGCATCCAGGAAATCACTGGAATGGACCCGAAAGTGATGGCTGGCCTGCGACGACTTGCGCGTGAACGTGGATACGACCCAAGTGTCTCGATGCAGCTGAAAGAAGAATACGTCCTTGATCCCCCAAACACCCCTCGCCCTCGGGGCCGACCACCTAAGAAGAGGAAAACTGAGGAAGAGGTCGATCCCGCCTTGACCAACATGCAGCAAGAAGGCTCGCGACCCCAGAGTCCCAGTTACAGTGGCACACCCACCAACCGCAGCAATCTGCCTCCCGGACAGTGGGATTTCATCGCCCCTACACCACCACCCAGTGGGTACACCATGACCTGAATGCTCAGTGGAAGGCCTTCGCTCGTTGGACGACTGTGATAGTTCAGAGTGAGGCCATCCAAATTCAAGGCGCAAGGGCCGGAGGGCAAGGTACGGTTGTTATTATTCGAGTTCAGATTCCCAGCCCAGGCGCTCAAAATCAATGGTACCGAGGCACGGAGTTATCGTGGGAGTACTTCTATCGATAATGCTGGAAGATTAATGTATGATTATGAAGGGGGAAAAGTACTTGTGGGAAGTCTGGGTTTGCGACACTTGACGGACTGAATTCATTGTACGCTTCAACCAGGGAGGCGATCCAGAAAGGACTGCTGAGAAGACAAGGTAGCAGAGTGTAACGGACTAGCGAACAGCTAATCAAACCGAAGTTCAAAACTTCATGTAGCGGAGCACCAAGTTATCGGCCATGCCTAGGAAGAGCTCGTCTGTCCGCATTGAGTAAGAGACTCGCCCAGTTAAGCGTCTTCATCACACGGATCATCAAGGGCACTCTCGGTAAGGGACATGCCGACTTAGGGCAAGGTCCTAGCAATGACTCTGAAAGTGGCTGAGCGGCGCAGTATCTGATTATTTGTCCCTGTGAAACTCGGAAGGCTGGATCCCGAGGCTGCAACCCCGGAGAATAGAACAAGGGTAGAGCCGGAGACAAGCTTTTTGGGAGTCGAATTCAGGCCCAGATCGAGGTCCTAGGGCTGCAAGATCCACGTGAAGCGAGTAGGATGGCCGGTAAACGAGATAGAAGGGAGATGAATGGCGATGGAAAGGGGAGACGCTTGACTCCTCCAGGTGCCAAGAAGAGATATCACGCTATTCCACAAATGGAAAGGCCCGCTCCGCCAGTCGGAAACGTCTTGTGCCTCAGAATCGCACTCCTGCTCCTGCCCCAAACACGATTCAAAACCACCCAGCGCTTCGGATGGCCCTCTCTCCTCCTACTCTGCGACACTCGACTCCTCCTGTCGCGCGCCTCCGCTGTGACTCTATTCCTAGCTATCGACATTTTGGCGCCCACCCTCCTTGCTTCTTTGCGCTCTCTCCGCAAGGATTTTTCTCGCCTGTCCCGTCTCAGATATCCTCCGTCCACCTGAGACGGATATGTGACGACTCGTCCACAATGCCTTGGAACCTCCTCCAGGGGCAAAAATGACCAGGTGACGAGACTCTGGGAGTCCCATAACCCTGGCCTATCGAGATCCATAATCTCAATTCCAAGATCCGGACTCTCTCCTGTTCCGTGCTTTGCACAGCCTCCTCGTTTTGTCGCTGGCCTACATATGTCTCCTGTGTTGCTGTTTCGAAATGTGTTTCTTTCCTCTCTCCATTCCATCTTTATTTCATACCAAAAGTGGTCTTCGTGTACTTCCACAGTACCGGTCCTGTTCATTCCTTTCTGCTGCTTGACGCACTGCAGTTTTCTGTTCTTGCGCCGGTCGCTCGTTGTCTCGCACCCATCCCAACTGTCCATCTCCAGTCTCAAGTATTATTCCAAAGTCACTTTCCCCTTGCAAGATCCCAGCAGACATGTCTCTCAAGACTCTCATCTCGACATTTTTCGCGGCATCTGCCCTCGCGCAGAGCTATGGCGGCGGTAGTTACGGTGGCGGCAGCTACGGTGGTGGCGGTGATTCAGGCAGCGGCGGCGGTTGGAGCAGCTGGGGCAGTGGCGGCGACAAGCAAGGACCTCCAGCATTCGCCGCAGCATCCTGCCCATCGGGTTGTCAGCCCATTCAGACCGGCGCTGCACCACCAATGGCGACTCAACCAGGCCAATTGATCGTCCAGGTTGTCTCTGTCTCAGACGCAAACGGATCTTTGAAATATTTCCCCGACAAGGTCACGGCACCAGTCGGGTCTGTGGTCCAGTTCCAGTTCCACCCAAAGGTTTGTCTTCTGCACCAACTTGGCCTGTCTCAAGTCTAATTGTTTGCGCAGAACCACACAGTGACAGAGTCATCGTTTGCTGAACCTTGCAAACCGATCGCCTCCAATCTCACCTCGGCTACTCGTCCTGGGCTGAAATCTGGATTTGTCCCTGTCACCGGTTCGGAGCCATTCACTCCAGTCTACAACGTCCTGGTCAACGATACCAAGCCCATCTGGATCTACTGCGGCCAGACCAACCACTGCGCGAAGGGTATGGCCATGGTCATCAACCAGAACGACTCCTCGCCCAATACTATTGACGCCTACATTGCCAACGCGGCCAAGCTACCACTCGTTAACGTTACTGCGCCTCCCGCTGGCTCCCCACCACCACCCCCGGCTGTCCCCCTGCTTCTCCCCCTCCGGCTGAATCGTCGTTTGCTTTTGGTGCGCCACCTCCGGAAAGCTCGCCTGTCGCACCACCAGCGCAGACCATTGCGCCGCCACCTTCATCGAGCGCAGTCGTGGCTCCAGCTGTATTCACCGGTGCCGCTGTTCCGGGATTCGTGCCTCAGTCATCGACAGGTGTGGTCGGTATCGCTCTCGGCGCCCTGTTGGCGTTGTGGTAATTTACCTTTTCTTTCTTGGATTGACACGGGGCCCAATATCCCCGCTCATCCACACGAGCAAAACAAAAGCTCTCAAGAGTCCGGCGCAAAAAAAAAGAAGAAGGGAGAGAGAACCGACTTTCAGAAGCCCGCCACACATCCCGGCGTTGTTTGTGAGAGGAGGTTCCAACGAAGCCATTATTGTCCTCAGAATTCCCCCGGCAAGGTCCCGAGGTCGAGTCGAGTTCAATTATATAGAAACTGGCAGCCACAAATTTTTAGGAAAGGAAGGGGAGAGGGGAGGTTATTATTTTTTCAAGAGACTCAGCAAGGAGGACGGACGAACTTGGAAAGTTGGGAGGCCCCAGTTGCCCCAGCACCTAAAGGACGACTTTTTTTGTGCAAAGACTTTTTTTTCATTATTGATCCGGATTTTTACCACCATTTGATACCAAAGCTAGCCTCTGCATATAGATGTACAATGTGTAAGCTGCATGCGACGTGTGTAACAACTATTTACCTGCCTAGATACCTAGAATACCTATTTTAGACACTTATTTATCCTAGATACCTTCTGTGCCTCCCGAGGTACAGACCAGAAGATAAAAGGAATATACATACTCCCTGCTTGGGGGAAAGATCTCAACAACACGTTTGACAAACACTCAGACAGCAGACAAAGACAATGTCGCTGACAGGCCTCGTCAAGTCAGGGTGTCCTCTACGGTGGTAAGAGTTGGAGGGTATTTACATACGAGGCACTACATGTATGTATGCCTTTGCTGTTCTTTTCATCAGAACAAACACCAGAAAAGACAGAGTGCTCCGTTCCGTTTCAATTTCCTCTCGTTGTCGTTATATAGGTGTCGTCATTAGGCTTTTATTTGATTCCCATCCCCTGCCATAGAGGAAGGTATGTATGAACTCGGTACGATATATGTGTTGGCGTTCAGAAATCCAAACACAGCTGCACCCCGACCCTCTCGAGGTCCTCGACTTCCAGCCAGCCCGTGTCTCCCACCACGCCGCCGTCGCCACTCCCCCGCGCGGCGGCGCGCTCCCGCTTGTCGTCCACGCACCGCCTGATGGCCTCCTTGACGAAGATGTCGGCGTACTTTCCCATGAGATGCCTCGCGTCCGCGGACAGGGAGGTGTGGTCGGGCTTTAGGAAGTGGGCGTGCATGATCCGGTGGATGAGCGGGAGGGGTATTGACGGACTCGTCGAGGATGTTGGGTTTCCACCTGTCCCGTTTGTGGTGACCTCGGCGAGGATGAAGTCGGGTTCTGGGGATGATAGGTTGAGATCGCGGTCGTGGAACAGGGAGGCTTCTTCCTCCTCCTCTTCTTCTTCCCCGTCCTCTTCGCCTTGTGCGTTGGTGTCGTCGTCATTGTCATGATCATCTTCATGGCCAAGGCTCTCATCCTCCTCGACCCTGGTGTCCATATTCTCGTCCGACCCAGCACCATCTCCGTCGTTGTCTTCTTCTTCCGGATTAGAATCCGAGTCTGCGTCTGACTCTCCAAGTATTGCTCTCATCGTCCCCGCCGCACCTCTCCGTTTCGTTTTCTGCGGCTTCGTCTTCTGTCCGGCTCTCTGGTTCCCTTGCTGGAGCTGTTTACGTACTTTCGAGTTCCCCGTTGCCCCCAGACTGCGTCTGGCTGCTGCGCTCTTTGTGATCGCCGCACCCTTCTCTTTCGTCGATTTAGTAACCTTTGACTTCCCCGGCCGGGGCGGGGAGAATGCATTCTTCGGTTTTCTGATCGTTGTCGAGGGCGCCATGTCAGCCCGGTCCCTGCGACTTCAGAGGGTGGAAAGAGGAGTATTGTGGATTTTCAAAGGGCAAGTGACTTGTAATCGTTTGGCGTGGGAACTGGATGCAAGTTTGTTCTCTCTATCTCTGTGCTATGCGTTGGCCGAGTCTGAGAGTCTGAAAGGGTTGTTTCTGTCTGTTGCGTGAGCGTGGCTGTCCGCGGACAACGTGATGCCTGTTACAAATATTCGACGCGCTCAGAAAATGACATCATAGACTAGCGCGTCTTGCACGCGTCAAGGCTCTACCACTTCCACCAGCAGTGCACAAGAGACAATTCAATGGAAAAGATACTAGGTACTACGGATTGAATCTGCAAAGTGATTGTATGATAATTTTATTAAGACCGTGTAAGTCTACTACAGGTCTAAATGTATCATGACTCATGCTACATAAAGTGCCCATGAAGTATTCCCAACCGAACGCCGTTCGCTTTTTATGCAAAGTCATCACTCATTTCTCCTTCAACGCCTAGCCTTGCTGTGCGCGAGCCTTGACCATTTTACTCGTAAAGGTCCATGTTTCCATTGGCTCCATCCTCCAGCTCCAACATGGCATCCTCATCATCAAGCATATCTTCATCCTCTTCCATCTCACTGTCGGTGTGGTTGGGCAATACCACGACGCGTCCATCCTCCAAGACGACATTGGCCGTCTCTCCATCTTTGATGGCGCCTCTCAAGATCAACACAGCCAGGCGATTGAGAATCTCCTTCTCGATCAACCTCTGCAGAGGACGGGCGCCATACGCAGGTGAGTATCCAGCAGCGCCAAGGTAGTCTTTGACCTCTTCGCTTGCGTTGATGGTGATCTTCTTGTCGTTGCTTTCGAGTCTCTTTTGGATCTCGCTTAGTCTCAGATCGACAATCTTGCGGATTTCTCTCCTTGTGAGACGGTTGAAGATGACTATTGAGCTGATTCTGTTCAAGAATTCTGGCAGGAAGTAGTTCCGCAGAGCGTTCATCACCAATTCCTTGGTGGTTGGGTCGATCTTCCCATCTGGTGCAGTGTTGCGAGACAGATATTCGGCACCAAGATTGCTCGTCATGACCACGATGCAGTTCTTAGCGTCGACAACACGGCCTTGGCCATCGGTGATTCTGCCGTCGTCCATGAGCTGGAGCAGCACGGTGAGCACCTCTTTGGCAGCTTTCTCCACCTCATCGAACAACAAGATCGAGAAAGGCCGACGTCGCAACGCCTCGGTAAGCTGTCCACCAGCGTCGTGTCCAACATATCCCGGAGGTGCACCAATCATTCTCGACAGTGAATGTCGTTCCTGATATTCTGACATGTCGAATCTGATCATGGCCTTCGGGTCGTCGAACAAGAACTCGGCAAGCGCCTTGGTCAACAGCGTCTTACCAGTACCAGAAGGACCGCAGAACAAAAAGCTTGGTGGCTGGTTGGGGTTGCCCAGGCCAGAACGTTGGAGTCGGATTGCATTTGAGACGGACTGGACAGCCTCTCTTTGGCCAACCACAATGCGCTGCAGATGCTGTTCCATGTGGAGAATCTTCTCCTTCTCGGAAGCACGCAGCCTCGTGATGGGGATACCGGTCATCTTGGCGACGATGGCGTTGATTTGTTCGGGTCCAACTGCGTCCGTAGGTGAAACCTCACCCATCGCACCCAGTCTGGCATGCTGCTCCGCATCCGCCTGAGCTCTGGCGTTCTCGAGGGCGCGGATCTTGGCAGCCACATCGGGGATGGCGTAGTATGTCAAGTCTGAAGCAGTCTGGAGGTCGTTGGAACGCTCTGCTTCGTCTCTCTTGTTCTTGAGCTGTTCCAATTTGATCTTGGCCTCCTGGATTTCTCGGGAGCGAGCCTTCTCACGTTCGTAGTGTTCCTTCAACGGTTCCAGCTCCTCCTTGACGTTTGCGGCTTCAAGCTTGGCCTCTTCCAGACGCTGAACCGACGATGGATCTGTCTCACGTTGCAGGGCGTGAATCTCGATCTCGAGTTGCCGGAGTCGTCGTTCAAGGTTATCGAGAACTTCGGGTTGAGATTCTCTAATGACACGGACGTCTGCTGCTGCTTCGTCGATAAGATCAACGGCCGAATCGGGTAGACGCCTCGATGTGATGTACCGAGCGGCAAGAGTAGCGGCCGCGACAATGGCGCCATCTAGAATGGTCACACCGTGGTGGACCTCGTATCGCTCTTTCAAGCCACGAAGGATGGAGATTGTCTCTTGCACGGTAGGTTCCTTAACCAAGACTTGTTGGAATCTTCGTTCGAAGGCAGCATCTTTTTCAATGTATTTGCGGTACTCTGCGAGAGTGGTGGCACCGATACAGTGAAGCTGACCACGGGCCAGCATGGGTTTGAGCAGATTCGCGGCGTCCATTCCACCCTCGCCACTGGCACCAGCGCCCATGAGAAGATGGATTTCATCCACAAAGAGAACGATCATCTCGTTAGAAGCCTCGATCTCTTTGAGGACACCCTTCATTCTCTCCTCGAATTCACCACGGTACTTGCTGCCAGCAACAAGAGATCCCACATCCAGCGAGAGAAGCTTGCAGGCGGCAAGATTGGCAGGCACATCGGCATTGATGATCCGCTGTGCCAGGCCTTCAATGACGGTGGTTTTGCCGACACCAGGCTCGCCAATGAGGACGGGGTTGTTCTTCGTTCTTCTGGACAGAATTCGAATCACTCTGCGGATCTCTTCCTCTCGTCCAATCACGGGATCGAGTTTGCCTTCTCTTGCAAGTTGTGTCATGTCAATGGTGAATTTCTTGAGGTTTTCGTTCTCCTCCTCTGAATCGGCTTGTTTTGAGTCGACCCGCTTCGTGCCACGTATTTGTTGAATGGCCGAGTCGATGAGTTTGGTATTGGGAACGTTTGCCTCCCGCAGGGCTTCTTGAATCTTCGGATCTTGCGCTAGGGCTGTGATCAAGTGGTCAATGGCCACGTAGGTATCTTTTTGCGTCTTTTGCAGTTCCTGGGCGGATCTGATCACTTTCGAGAGGGACGGCGACATGGTGACATGTTCGGGCGGAGGATCTTGACTCGGAAGCCGCACCAGGGCTTTCTTGAGTGCTCTGTCGAGTAATTGGACATCGCCATGTGCTCTTTCGACCACCTGTCTGAAGAGTGGAGCCGAAGCGTGCGACTGTGAGGCATTGACTGTCGTCTGTTGGTCCTTTGATTCGTCCGGAGGAGGGTCAAACAGAGAAACTGCCAGGTGGAGTGGTAGAATCTGTGAATGTGCATATTGTTCAGCGAGATTTGCGGCATCGCCGAGTGCCTTTGCGGCACGATCAGTGAACTGAGGCACACCCGCCATGGTTCAATGATGTGTATGTGTAGTTAGGATTATGTATTATTTCGTGTAGGAAGTTTGAGAGAAGTCTAAACAGTCACAAAATGGAGTGAGAAGCATGTTAATAAAGTGATTCTTGTACCCGGGAACTGTGCCCAAAGTGGAGCAAGACGTGTTGGTGGCTATGACATAGGTTGGCTGGCTGGCATCTTCCAGAATACCCTGGCACCGCTTGGCACCTGCGGGGAGGTTCACCGAGATTCCTGCGCACCAACCCTGGCGCCCGCCCTCAGGAACAAAGTTCTCTCGTACCTCCCGGTGACTTCCAGCAACCTCTCGCCATAGTCACCTCACGTTCCCTCCCGATCCGACCATTCATCAGACCACCACCGTCGAATTGACTTCAGGTGGTTCTCACCAACATTAACAATGCACACACGACACGAAAGCGGTCAGAGACTGCGACTGCAAGAGGAGGTATACTGTGAAAGGTCGAGACAATGGCAGACCATGTGAAGACCTACAGAGAAAGAGGTCAGTCCTCGGCGTAAAGGTAAACATGAACTTCAAAAGAGATATGGACAGAACGGGTAACAAGAACCACTGGTACCGTATAAGCCCATCGATACCTCCTGTCCTTCAGGTGATTGTTCTGGTATACATACCTATCCACTCTACATACTTTTACCCCTCAAGCGAACCCGCAAGGCCGGCTAGCTGCGTATTGACTGACCACTACCTCTTTCGACAAGACATCTTCACTGTATCCCAATCGGTAAATGTTGAGCCGGTTGCTGGTTTGTCACTTACTCCTCGGAAGTGCATCCGGGAATACCACTGACGTCGTTGTCTGCAGCCTGACGAAGAATTACTCGGCTAGTAGCTGGTCTCTTTAGGTGCTCAAGTAATGAAATTATTCAGTCTGTGGATTGGCTAATCGTAAACACACGAGAAAGAATCAGAGGCAATCTGGGGCTCATTAGAACAGCATCAACCGCGCTGATCAGATATCCGAAAATGTCCTGCATCATGGCTTCAAGGCAAACTGTTTCAGGTACAAGTAATCGGCCATATTGTCGTCGACAGTCTTCCGGATCACTCTGGCGGCCTTCTCTCCATATTTCTCCTTCCATTCGGCATCCCACTGTTCTTCGGTTTTTGGTGCTTTCTTCTGTCCACAGTCAGTTCTGCCACATTGGTGAAATGGATAACATGTCACTCACGTGAGTTCTCGGCTTGAGGTCTGTCGAGTCGATCGCATCCTCATGGAACCCCTTCCATTTCTCGAATGCAGCCTTTGCACGCTTCTGATCCTCTTCATTGTCCCAATTCAGCATGTCAGGGTGGAAATCAAGCCCCACGCTCTGACAGTAAGCTTGGAGAATACCCTCCGGATCATCCAACAAATCGTCCGCGTCAACCACACACACTTCAGGCACTTTGGCAGTGCCATTCGCAACATGGCCATTCTCTACCCCGTTCTTGACTCCATCTTTTCTGTCTCTTATCAACCCAGCCTCTCGGGCATAATCAAAAAAGCGTCGAAGCTCATCATACCCTGCCTCATTGGGATAGAACTCGTGGAATCCCGTAATGTCATCCAGTGGCGGGATGGTGCAGCGATAATAAGACGGGATGCTGGAATGAGGGTCCCGGATGAGGAATGTGAAATGGAACTTGTCGAGCAAGGCTTTTGGGACAACTGTAGGATTACCTGGCTCGCCTTCTGTCGGAAATGGAAACGGTGCTTTCTTGTGAATGCCATTGGTGCCATTGACGCCGTTACCATTGACATGATAGGTTCCGTTCACGCCATTGGTGCCATTGTCACCATTGACGCTGTTGACACCGTTGACCCCATTGGCACCGTTGACATGATAGGCCCCGTTCACGCCATTGGTACCGTTGACCCCATTCACCCCATGGCTCGGCTTCTCGGTTCCGATACCGCGCTTGACTGGCTGCAACGAAGGAGCCAATTTTGGTGGCTGCTGGTCGGGAGGAACTAGATAATGAAGGATGTCCTTGATGAAGACGCGTTTGCCCTATTTCAGAGGTAAGCTCTAGCTTTGAAATAGCTGCCGAGAGCCACACGAGAGGATAGGCTCGAGGGCAATAACACACCTTGGCTCCTTCGTGTTCTAGTCGATCAAATATTGTTTTGTAGGTCGAGTCCCTATACCCCGATGCGTTTCTCGCATCTTCGTCGTTTTCATAGCGAACGCTCATCCTCTCCGGACTGGAGACGGAATTAGATATAATGGCGCGTCGTCCTGTCCTGTACCGACTTACCCATAATAAAAAGCGTCGCCAAATGGTTCATGGACACAGGTCAAGTCTTTCCTGGTCATGAATACCTTGCCAGATGGTCAGCATTGACATCAATTACCCAGAATAGGCAGGCTGGAGCGAACACGTTCAAAGGCTGTGCTGCATGCACGTGGGTGCGTGGCACAGAATATTGGTTTGGCCATGATGTCAACACCCTCTCGATGACAATGCTACAAGTCAATCGAGAGGACCAAAGTCGATAGAGTCGGCCGACTCCCGGTAAAGTGAATGTCAAGGTTCTGTGAACCTAGCAAGAATAGCCCCTTTCGGTCAGCTAGGATAGGATTTCAGCTACACAAAGCAGCTTGGAAATCGAGACAGAAGATTCTTCTGATGGCTCCCTACAAAGTCAGGGCAGATCATCAAGTCTGTATTTATAGCAAGACCAGATAACGGTAATCGGTCGCGGCTCTCGGACGGAGATGGCCAAAAGTCACTCAGGACAAGAAGTCTCTTCCTTGCTCACATTGACCTGGCATCCTTTTCCGAGGCGAATCAACGGGCCTTACAAGGTGGTGAAAAATTCGTCATTGCTCCATGTGCCAGTGATGTTGAGGATCTCGAACGACGCCAAGGGGCATGCGATTCGCTTGCCGCCGTCGGAAGGCCCCGCAGTACCAGAGAAAACCCCCAAATGATAATCCACTTTTCCAGGAACATGTGGGAGATGGAGATGATGATTGGCATCTTGATGGGTAAACGGGCCACCCGTGAGACCGAGGAGGCGAACGCCACGCATGGGGTCGATGGCTCAGGTGCGGCAAACGTTGAGGAAAGGAAAGACCATAGCCGTCTGGATGGCAAATTGAAAGAGATGGATCTTTGCGAGACTGGGTGTGTGAAGAGATGGACCGAATCTGGGGCGATCTCGAGCCACCTATGTCAGTGATGGTGGTGATACATCTTGACATGAATAATGTGATCCGCCGAGCATCTCCAAAGAGGCAGAATCGACGGGTGATCACAGAATTTTCTGGCTTTGGCGGGGGACTAAGAACTGCGAAATACGAACGAACTGTGTGTGACGTGGGGAACAAGTAAGAAAGAGGAAGAAATTGTTGTTGAAGTTCGAGAGACCTCCAATTAGGGTTGGAAAGGCATCGAGGGCTAGCGGCACCTGGTGCGGCCACTTGAACTGAAGCAGCTGAGGTGTGTATAAAGTGCATAACCAGTCGTGCCAGAGATTTTGGGGGGCCTGTCGTTAGGTCATTAGGGCCACTGCTTGCCCAGGTGATTAAAGCCAGCTAGGCACCCAGTGACACCCTAGCACCCACTCACCTGGGGACGGAATAGGCACTTCCCGAGAGCGGAATAGTCCCCGGCAGTCCTGAAGTGCCCAGTGGTGCCTTAACACGTGCACATGCGTACCCAATGTGCCAACGCAGGCAGTCGAAGATCCCAGTGGCATCGCGCGACTGAAGATCCTATTGACGCAGGCTGTCAACACCATTGTTCTGGACTGCTAAGTCAAAGCCTTATCACGCATCTATCTTCAACCTCTTTGCTGCGGTTGGGGAGTTTGGCACTTGGAAAGTGTCAAGTTTGATTGATCTTCGTCGCGCATCCCTTTTTTTTTTTCCCTTGTGAGAGCTCCCCTCCTCAACCTTTTCCTGCGCCTGAAGCTGCTGTTGTCCCTCACGTTCGTCAACCGCCAGCATGGATTTCATAAGGAACCTGATGGCATCTCCTCGGCCTGCCTCTATTCCAGAACCACCAATCGTCGTGGCCAAACCGATCCATCCCTACTATCCCACAGAGATCGAAGTTGTCAACTACGCCGCAAACGAAATGACAGTCCCGGAGTTACTAGCCAGCTTTGCGGTTGGCTGTACCGTCATCCTCTCGCTCACCTGGTTCCTTGCATCAAGTCTTGCACCACGTCTCAAAACTGGAGATAAAATAACGGCGCTTTGGTTTTGCCTGTGTATGAGAAGAGCCACATACTCGTGATTGGGCGAGGCGGACACTGACATTGAAAAGGCGGCTTCATTCACTTGTTTTTCGAAGGCTACTTTGCCTACAACCATACCCGCATGGGCGGTCTCCAAGATCTCTTCGGTCAATTGTGGAAAGAATACTCGTTATCAGATTCGCGATATTTGACCTCAGATCCGTTTGTCTTGTGTATGGAGACGATCACGGCGGTATGGACTTGTCTACGCGCCTCCAAGAAGCGCATGTCGCACTGACATGGCTTAGGTATTCTGGGGTCCCCTTTCATTCTTGATGGTGTATTTCATCATCGTCTCCCATCCTCTGCGTTACCCACTGCAGGCAATCGTTTCACTTGGACAGATCTATGGCGACATACTCTACTACGCGACCTCGATGTTTGATCATTACTACAAGAACTTGACATATTGCCGACCTGAGCCATACTATTTCTGGTTTTATTATTTCCTCATGAATATCTTCTGGATTGTCATTCCAGCAAGTAAGTCATTCCTGGCCCCGATCGAGCAATCCAGAGCTTACTTGTGCATCCACAGTCCTGCTCACTAGTAGCCTGCGAATCACAGCCAGAGCTTTCAAGGCGCTTGACCGGATGTCGCACTCGCTGCAAGAGAATGGCAAAGTGACCAGACCGAAAGCCAACGGCCACATCAAGCATGCATGATAGGGGCCATCAAATAGAGTGGTGGCGTCCACTAGAATAGTTCATGGATCAGGATGGGTTCATCTGATTTCTGCCAGAACTGCATCTTGCTTCAGGAACTAGTTCAAATCGCAAATGCTGGTCCAGACTACTATGGGCCTCAAATGTAAGCGAGGCATATCTTAGAGTTGAAGCATAGCAGCTGAAGTACTGAGCGATCTACACACCAGAGAAAAGATTAATCCTTCTGTTTTGAGTATGGGATCTACTATTTGTTTCTATTTGTATTCTTCCGGGTCGTGTTCGGTTATCGATCTTGGTGGTTGCCCTGGGAACCGTTGCGACTTATCCGGCCCGGCAAGCTGGGATCTTTGACGCAACCTGCATGCTTGCATATTGACCTGCGCTACCACCACCTTTTGAAACTACACCTTGCATGAAACCCAGTGATGGTTCCGGTATCATTACCGCTGGTATCTGCAGTTATTTTTGTCCAAGAGAGGGCGTCCGTACCACAACTCCCTTGACCCTACACCACTACTAAGAACTTCCTCGTACACCAAACCGAACACCAATATGCCCACGGAATGGTCTTCACCGCTCACGAGAACAACTGTATATGGATCGAGCAATAGTCACCACACATTGATGATATAGAAGGCGACCATAACATAGCGCTTGGACGCATATCTGTCAATGCGAGCCGAATCAACTCCAACCGCCGACCGCCGAACTTCCAAGCACAATCGCTCCAACACACGTCCTTCCTCAAAACCGCAAAATGTAGACTCACCTCGTCCCAGTGGGCTGTACGAATCGCCTTCTGTCCAGGATCGTATCCGACAATGGCAGGCTCAAGGCGCAGCAAATGCCTTGGCCCCAGACGCAGTGAGCGTCCGATCGATTCCCATTTCTGAATGCCCCTCCACCGTGTCGAGACCCGAGTCGGAATGCGGAAATGAGACGAGAAGTCGGATCGGCGGAAGAGCCAGGGCCAAAGCTGAAGAGCAGCAGGAGAGGGAAAGGAGCTCTAGTGCCCCGCGAAAGCGTATTATCAGCGATGGTCACTGGAAGACACAAAAGCAAACCAGAGAGAACCAGGATGGAAAAGTTGGAACCAGCCGACGGCCCGAATCACGATTGTATGACCTCTCCTATACCTCGAATCAAGAAAAGACCAAAGGGCGACGACGCTCAAGAACAAAGCAATATTCGAATGCCGAACAAGGAGCGGAACAAGCAATGCCGCATGACGACGGCATTAGAGTGGCACCAATTCCAGACGACGACCAAGCACACGAGGCAATATCGCCGCCAGCTTACGACTTAGAGAGCCAAGCGGACGAAGATCTTGCTCGACACTTGACTACCGAGTCTATCTTGTCCGGAGATTTTGGGAGACATGCCCACGACCCAACAGGGCAGGACGAGGACGAGGACGTTCCTGGCAATTGGAGACCAAGCAAATATGCCGAGTTGTTGGGGAAGCCTCCGGAAGCCTCTTTGGGTGGACAAGCGCCCAAATCCAAGAAGGGTGGATTGTTAGGCAAGACCAGAGGCATGTTCGTCAAGTCCGAGACGCTCTCTTCCCCCGGCAACAGGCTACCCAGCATTGAAGCGTGGCTTGACGAGCAACCCGATCCCTTTGTCGAAAAGGACGGCTTAGAAGAGCAGCCACCAGTCGAAGTGCCCCAGCCGTTGAAGAAACGTACGCACCGGAAGAGATCCTCTACCGAGAAGTCTATCACCCCCGATCCCAATCAGATATGGAATTCCATTTCACCTCAGCAGGCTGAATCAAGCCCCAATCATACCCCAAGGCCTGGTTATTCCGTACCCTCGCCCAACGCAAACCAGAAGTCCTCGGCAGACTTTAGCAATGGTGCAAATGAGGCCCAGGATGGAAATGATGGCTCACCCTCAACCCTACGAAGACGAGGTGCGAAAGTTCGCCGCCAGCGAGGCTCGAGCAGGAAAGAGACGCCATCGGTTGAAGCCTCCCCAGAACCCACAGTGTCACAGGCAGACATTTCTCCAGCTGAGAACGCGGATATCAGAGCTCCTAGCCTACCTCAACGACCGTGTCCCCCAACAGGCCCGCACCTACTTTCAACGATTCAGTCTGTGGAGACTCTCAAAGAAATCGATCCAAAGCCTCTGGCTGATGAAGGGATCCCCGGACAAGTTTGCGACCTCAAACGCAGGCTGACCACCCACGAAGATTTGATGTCAGTTCTGTCTTTGCCGAGAGGCAGCCGACCCCGTCGATCGAGACGCAGAGCGAGACCTACCCAGGTGAAACCTCAGTCAAGCTCAGCGCAAGAAATACTCGCCGCGGTGGTTGCCGACGAAGAAAATTATTCACGGGAATTGCGAACCTTGGTCGACGGTGTCATTCCAGTCTTGCTCCAATGTCTTCTGTCTAAAACAGACGCGGCGGCTGCGGCTGGACTGTTCACTTCGGCATCGCCCCAAGATGGCCAGAGCATCACCAGGCCCATCATTGATATGGGGATCGCCCTGGAAAGATTGAAGGCCCTGCATAATCGACTGCCTTCCCAGGATTTGGACAGTCTCCTCAACTGGGCTCAAACAACGGAGAAAGCATACAAAGACTACCTGCAAGCGTGGAGACTCGGCTTCCAAGACGTGGTTGTCAACCTTGCACCACTGGAAAATTCATCAGCCCTAGAGCAAGGCATGGCCAGAGACGAGGCTGGCGATATAGTAGACGCTGCAGGCAAGAAGGTCGACGTTGCCTATCTGCTGAAGAGACCGCTTGTGAGAGTCAAGGCTCTAAGCAAGACTTTTGCCCGAATCAAGGATGAGTACGACGTGCCTCTTGCCGTACAGATGGCAAACACTTATGCTGAGCTGACAGCATTTGCTAAGAGACGGAACCAAGAAGAACAAGCTAGACTGGAAGATGAGGCTGCTGCCAACATTGATGCGACAAGAGCGCGCGATATTAGGACCATGGCAGCATCAGCTCACATCACTGTCGACAAAACTCGCCGCGTCAGGGCAAGAGACGTTTTCAACCTCACAATCTATCACTCTAGTGGACAAAGGATGGATTGTAGCGTCGAACTGGTCTTTCGAGACAACGCCCGTGGTGATCCAACTGGTGGAGATGTCCTGGTCTGTGAAATCGACGACACAGGGAAGTGGCTTCTCTTTGCTCCCTTGGAGCTGAGCTCGGTATCAGCAAGACGTGGCGAGGACGGATTCGATCTTGTCATCATGATTCGGGGTCGGGCAGGTTTTGGACAGGAATGGCACGAATTGTTGGCCTTGAAGACGGACGATAAAGAGGCCGTGGCAGAATGGATGGATATGCTTGGTTCAAAGCCGCTGCCCCCAAGGTTGAACCGTACACCAAGTTTTGTGAGACGACCTTCACCTCTGGCCACTGCAACTACCGCTGAGGCCGAGTCTTCCTCATCCAAAACCACGAGTCAGTCAGTCGATGAAAGCCCTGCAACTGCAACCGAATATCTGGACATACCTATCGGCGAGCCTTCTGTCCTAGGGGCAAGGAATGACTCGAGTCGGCCCAAGCCTCCGAATGATCGACCATCACCACGGTTGAACCTTGGGGGTGGACTCGCGTCGAAACCTCTTCCCACTCCCCAGTTTCAGCAATCCTCGACTGTTCCGCGACGACGCCCAGTGTCGGTCCCATCAGTCGTGTCTTCCGATCGATCGACCATTTCAGACCGTTCCATACGGGATTATGCCACCATATTCACCTCGTCATCATTGTCGTCGTCGTCTAAGACTACGGTGACTAACCCTAGTGACGTGTCTCAGGGCAAAAATCCTGAAGCAGTGCGATCCCGTCCACCCCCAACTTACAAGGCCTCCGACGAAGCGAAAACCCAGGTTGAGGGCCACAAAGATGCTGTCTTAACAAAGCCCAGCCAACCAGTCAATGTCAGGAATGATTACAATAGTCCTCCGATATTAGACCAGACACAGAAATCAAGAGCAAGCGCAACGGAGCCTCCCATACTGGAGGCACAGACGGCTAGCACTAATTTCAACTCTTCCAAACCTTCCCCCAAACCATCACCGCAGAGACCAGAATATCATCGAGCTATTTCCTCTACCCCATCAAAAGACCTACCAACCGTCAACAAGCTTCGGACCCTTCAAGCCCACGAGAGTCCGTCGTTGTCTCAGCCAGAGAGACAAGCTTCAGGGACACAGCAAACAACTCCTGTGCTTGAGCAGTTGCAGCAACGGTCAAAACGGGATCAAAAGAGTTCAGCCAAGAGCCAACTATACACCGAAGATATACCAAGTCCGCCAGAGCACAAAACGCGTCAAGATCGCCCCTCTGTCCCCGGCTTAGGATCTTCGTCCCCGCCAGCCACACCGCCTCACAATCCCAGGATTCTGCAGCCGATATCTAGCAATAGACCCAGCCCTGTATTGAAAGCCACCCCGAGTCCAGCAGGCAAGGCGGTAAGGCGGCGGACATCCTCACCCTTGAAGCATGAATATGAACCTTCCACGGACTCTGACAGTTCAGGCTACGATTCGGATAGCGACAGCAGTTCGTCTTCTGACACTTCAGACGACTTCGTGTCGGAGCATGGGGACAGACCAACACCACTTGTGGCCATCAAGCCAGCGGAGGGTCGAATATCAAAACAATATATACCCCCACCTTCAATCAAATCCACCGGAACCCGAACACTGGCTCCTTCAGACTCTGCCTCCCAGGGACCTTACCGCAAGGTTCCCGCATCGACCACAATCTCAGCGAACAAGAAAGCGAGGACAATTGCTTTGATTTGCTCGTGGTCGGACAAAGGCATGTGGGAGCAGATTTATCCCGACGAGTGCTCCATTGTAATCTCACCCGGTTTGATTGAAGCCTTTGAGATGTCAGCGGCCCATTCTGATCCTCAGAACTCCTCGACCAGTCGCTTATTTGACGACCATGGGCCAGGAAAGGACTCCATTTCTCAGCAGCCCCTGGTAGCTTTCGAATTAACGCCCATCGTTCCGCTGCGCAGGGGCACTGCACTGGACATCTCTATACGGTCTCCTCCTACAGCAAACTCCAAGATCAGAACAACCAATAATGTTATGTTCCGTTCGCGGAACCCCGAAGAATGTGAAGCATTGTATGGAATGATCAACTGGGCTCGGTGCAATAACCCAACGTATATCCAGCTGCAAAATGCACGGCCTCGTCGCCAACCTTCAGTGACTTTCAATGTCGGACAAGCTCAACATAGTCGGTCGAGGGCGAGTTCATGGTTTAGTTTTGGGAGTCAGAAGAAATCGAGTTACCGGGCTTCATCTGCTCCAACACCCGCTTCAATCGACATGTCAGTGGAGAGCTCGGGGACGATGACCAGCGCCTTCTCGGCGCTGAAGAGACTCGGCGTCAGTTCCGCCTTCAATCTCAATCGATCTTCGGTTATTCGCAGATATGGTGGAGGTGGCACAGGCGAGTCTCTGTATTCCTCCAGCAGTGGGACTGGAACAGGTTCGGGTTCAGGTACACCCCCGCCCAGTCAGCTTGGTTTCATACCAGGGAAAGATGGACCGAACGTCCCATCGACCAGTGCAGCTGCCGCAGAAGGGGGAGGCATGGTCAACAATATGAAAATCCGACTCTATGTCAGAAAGGGACAGCATTGGGAAAACCTGGGGGCCGCTCGTCTCACCGTTCTTCCAGCACCATCATCCGCCGCAGCAGAAAGTGGCCAATCGACTCCAAATCGAACCGTAACTCCAGGGGCATCTCCCCAAGCAATAGCCGGTCCTCCTCGATCTCCGTCAAACATTGCAGGCGCAGGCCAAGCAGGACAAAGCCGTGGACCTCGCCTCCCGAGCTCGAGCCATACTCCCCATCGCGTCCACGGCAATGGTCGCGAGAAGCGTATTCTCATCACTCAGAACAAGAACCGCGACGTTGTACTGTTGGACAGTGTGTTGGGTGAAAGCTGCTTCGAACGCGTCATGCAGACAGGTATTGCGATGAAGACTTGGAGCGAGGACGAGGTCATTGCTGAGACGGGCGGCGTGACCATGGGTAAGGAACGGGTGTACATGATGCAATTCCCGGGTACGAGGGAGGCAGGCTGGGTCTTTGGTCTGTGTGGCACCTATCGGTACGGCGCTGGAGGGATGGAATAAAGCCGGCCAGCCAGCCCACACCAGAGCGCTCCTGAACAAGACCGGGGGCGAAACATGAATGGGATTCAATAGATTTACGAGCAACCTGTGGATTGGCGATTTGACTTATTAGAGCGTTGGAGTTTCGGGAAGACTTTTTATTTCTTTCTCTTTTGTTGTGAAGTCTGTTGTTTTTGGCGCCAGCCAGTCAACCGGTTCAGTCAGTATTGCTTGTCTTTCCAAAGACGAGATAGAGACGGCATGGCATGGCGAGACGATTCATCAAGGCACGGTATGGAGATGAGACGAGGATTGAGGATCTGGGGACGGCTGAACGGCGGACAGCGAGGATAAGGAGGACAAGGGTTGGCGCATTGAATGAATGTATGTATGTACGTGATTGATTTCTCTGATTCAAATTCGAGATGAGTGGACAACAGCAACAGATGAGCAGATGACTTCGCGGGAATAGAGTCGGGAGAGTCAGAAGAGATAGAAAGAAGGGGGGAAATGGTTTCGTTCATCTGTGATTCTTGATTCGGGGAATAGTTGTATAGCAACTTGAGAAACTTTGAGCAAGCATGCAAATTGAACAAGCAAGCAAAGCAGTTCTACTTGAGTATCGAGTCCCACGCACCGAGTATCGAGTATCGAGGACCGAGTCTGACAGATCAAGTGCTTATGGGTACTGACTATCCATTCTACCTTACCTACATCTGTATACCTAGAGTAGAATATCTGGAGCATCTAAAGTACCTATGACCATCCCTGTCTGTCTACCCGTGAACTCTCATTCCCTCGACCTACCGGGTTCAAGTCCGGGTTGCGAAAGCGCCCTGTGCATCCTGTCCTTCAATCCAGAGCGCGGCGACGACGGGCATGACGACGATGAATGGGAAAGACACGCCATAAGCTGATGGAGGGCAGGATTTTAGATTCGATCTCTTGTCACTTTGTTCTCTCAAGGACGGAGGAGTTGGAGGGGAGAGGGTGGAATAACAGAGATAGACGTACCGACCCTCTAGGTGCTATGGGTGCTAGGCACCCAGCTAGGGGAAAATGCAAAATGATGAGTAATCCGTTCTTTGAGGGCTTTACATAAGCAGCCAACAGCCTCACCAGCTGGGTGCCAGCCTCGCCTTGTTATCAACAACATGATGTCAGGGGAAAAAACCAGTTGTAGTGTCCCTTTTGGCTGTTGAAGAACTGCGGCCGTGATAGAAGGTGAAAGACATGGCCAACCCTTCATCTCAAGGTCCAACTAAAGGTAAAGGTCAGGCATGGCAATGCTAGATCTCGCCCCGAGAGAGGTGCAAAGCTATACTCACAGCGGCAGGAGTACGAAGTGATCCTCGTCGTCGAGATTAGAAACCGTCCAGCTAAGCGCGATCGGGACTTCTGTCAATTGATACAATCTGCAAAGCCGCTCGACAATATGACACCAACACCAAGTTCGAGGCCAAACCCCGAAGTGTCTAATCCTCAAGCCGGCGAGATATCAGTCACGCCTCAGCAAGAGACAGACAATGCACCCTCAGAAGGCGGCTTCTTATTCATTGCATCCACGGGCCAAAACTCGCAGAAAGACCGCAAGCAGCTGAGAACGATGCGCGCACATGTGATGCGCAACTATCTAGAACGAAGCCATGCGGAGCAACGAGATACGGAATCCAAGAATTTCTCTGTCCTGTCGTTTCCAGGCACCAGAATACAGACAGAGAGACATGCGACGGGTGCAACGGGCGGGCAGAAAATGAGGTTCAGGATGCGATCTGGAGAGTTGGAGCTCAGAAACTCCCACCGAGATCGGAAAGGGAAGAGGAGGGCCGACCGAACGCAAGAGGAGGCTAGTACCCAGGCCGGATCTGAGCTTTCAAGGGGCCGGACAGCATCCGTTCTCAACCCGCAGCAAACGGCGGCGGCCGAGTCGGGATTTGTACCTGGAATGCCTGTGACGTGGCTTGGATCGCGACAAATCGATGTTTTCGGTGTCCTGCCCGTCCACTTGGACGAAGGGGACGAGGCAAGGCTGTATCTATTCCGCCACTATGAGAGGTACCCGTGGTGCCCGATCAACGGACAGAGCAACTGGTCACAATTCGCCATCAGCGACCAGCTGGTTTTCCATGCGACAATGTACAGCTGGGGAGTGCACTTTCGTCACCGCCGAGCAGTCCCAGATGCGCAGGAGGAAATGAGAACACTGCAACACAAACTGGCGGCTATCTCATTGATCAATGACCGTCTATCAGATTCCCAACAGGCAGCCAGCGATGAAACGATCGCGGCAATAGCGGCCCTGACCAACATTGCCCTCGTAATGGAATCGTATCCGGAGGCAAGCAAACACATGGACGGCATGCGGGCCGTCGTCGAGTTGAGGGGCGGTATGTCGTCCCTGCGGTCCGGTGTTCAGCAACATCTGCAACGCTTGATTAGTTGGAACGATCTCATATACTCGGAAGTCTTTGATGAGAAATTGCGTTTCCCTCCCATTGAGGTGTGGGATGAATCATGGGCGGGCTTTCAACATCACAACTTATCGGGACCACTGCCTGGCTTAAGCCGAGATGAGCTGAGGGCGGCTGGTGCTCCTCGTCATCAAGTCCTGGATTTGCTCAACGACATCCGGGAACTTTGTAACGCAGAGCAACTCGAACCTCTGCGCCGCACTAGTGAAGAGGGGAGGATGCGACGTGGTGATATGTTCCATCGGATCGAGAGGAAGTTGAGGCTTATTGTCCAAGGAGACACGGTTTCAGGGAACAATCGTTGGGAGGCCACCGTTTGGCGGGCAGTGTCGTTGGCAGCGTTGCTCTTCACCCATCACCACCTGCGTGGAAACCCCTTGAAATACCGACATTTCAACGTCTTGACAACACAACTTTACGATACGCTCATGACCATGGACGAGGACCTCAGAGAACTTGACTTCTCTCCGACAATGTTAATATGGATGCTCTCGACAGGAGCCGTGACCAGTACGTTAGCAGCCGTCCATGCTTCATTTGTGTTTATGCTGGCGAAGACTTGCCGTAGATACGGGCTGTTAGACTACGATGGGTACCGATGGACGCTGGGTCAGTTTTTGTGGACTGGACAGGCGGATCAGTTGAGATATCATGCATTGTGGCTGGAGCTGGGGCCCAGAATACGGGGGACAATGGGTCCATGGCAACAGCAGGATGTGTTTGAGATATAATCGTGGGTAGGTGACCTGAGGTAGATGAGGAAGATGTCAACGATGTATGTACTCAGCGCAGTGTCAGTGAATGTAGAACAAACTGCGGACCGTTTTGGCTGCGCACAATGGCGCGATTCCTTATCTCCGAGAGTCTCGGGAAGAAACCGGACGAACTGCACTTCATCCCATCATCACTTCCAGCTTCACCTCGATTACCTTCACTCTCGGATCCATCTCATCTAGTCCATCATAAACATGACCCAAGGCTGAATTCCCTGTCAATATCCTTGCGCAATCAAGGGGACAGAGAGAGCACAACACCACCTACAAACCTGACTTGGAAGTCAACCCCTCCCCGCAATCTTATCCCCGGCTCATCCTCACCGCGTGCTTTGTATCCCTGACCATGGCACGCTACCAGCTCCTTGATCTGGCTCCTGAAGTCCTGCACAATATCTTCCAGAATGTGGAACCAACAGACCTAGCATCTCTCGCGAGGACATGTCATCACCTGAACAACTGCATCAGTAGCGATGAATTCCTTTGGAGACTTCACTATCTGTCCCGCTTTGTAAGAGCCGAGGCCGGCTTCCGCCATGGTTTGATATCAAAGAGGCTGCTTGCTAACCACAATGTATCATCAGGATCCTCCTCTGGACAGGGATACCAAGTCCTGGCGAGAGAGACTGACCCGTCTAGTGAACCTTCAGAAGATCCTGGAGTCAGACCATGACGAGATAAAGGCATGAACTATACCTCTGCTACGTCGAGCCCGCCCCATCCCGCTAACCGTGTTCTTCAGACCGAGTCACTAGAAGATGTGCTTACACAGACATTGCAACTGGCCCAACAAGCCGACGCCTCGTCCACCAAGATCACCGACTTCCTATCAAACCTCTACAGCAAGGGGCCCAACATCAATACCATACTCTGTAGATCGAGCCTCTTCGCCCGTGCCCGACCTCAGCAATGGCCCGCGGCGCCCACAGAAGATCTGCGTCAACTCTCTGCTCAACTTCACGTTCTGGCAGGCATGAATCTAGACTCTCCTTGGCCAATCTCACATGAACCATCTTGTCCACACCTGGCAGTGGCTGGGCACCGCGGCCCATTCGACGATAGCTACGACTCCGACGAATATGATGTCCCGGACATCAACGAGAATTCCCAGAGCGAGGAAGCACGCCATCTGCTTCGAAATACTCCGCGACCGATCCGAGACGCGCATCCGTGGGCCCGCTCCCGAGTCTACGACTTGCGCCGATACAACGTGTCGAACATGTGGGGTCCCTTTACCGACGATGGCACACAACGCATCGATTGGGAGAAGGTCCAGGCCATCATGGTGATCCTTGGTTTCAATCACCGAATGTACAGTGAACGACGCGGACTGAGCGACACAGACTTCTTGGGACTCACCGGTTCTTCTCCACGGTCTTCTGGCGAGGGAAGTGCGTCAGTCTCGTCCACCAAATCCAACCTCCTGAAACCCTGGGCAAACCTCTTCTGCGGCATCGCCCCCAACAGCTACGTCTCATCCTCGCTCACGGGAAAAATCAAGCCCGCTCCCAACCCCAGCCTCGATGCTCTGGATCCCTATGGTGTCACAGGGACTTGGATGCGGATCGTCTGTTTCCTGGACTATAACGACCTCTATCGCTTCAATTTCGAGAGAAACGCGGACATTCCCATGACCCAGGAACGAGACCCCATCACGACGAGGGAGGCCTTTCGATTGATCAGACTGCAATTGCATGTCACCAGGATCGAGGAACAAGAGGAGAAAGGAGAGGACGGAGAGGATCTGTTGCCAGTGGTTTACTTTGAAGGCACCAGTCGGAGTACCTTTATGGCGTGGGATCCTAACGCGAATTCCAGGATAAGAGGTGAGTGAACCCGTCCCCATAAACTCCGTCAAATACAAAACCAACCCGCCGTTTCCACCGCTTGCCTTGTAACCTAGCACTTCTGAATCTGGCTGACTCAAACACCACAACCAGGAACCGTTCGCCAAACCCCGACCAAGGCGATCCGCTGGACCTCGTTCTCCATTTTCCACGGCGAAGAGCGCTGGCGTTCCGAAGGTGTACAGATCGGTGGCATCCGCAGCGCCCGAGGCGTCCTGGGCAACTGGTTTGACAAGGATTACGACGTGCATGGTCCCGCGGGCCCAACGGCATTTTGGAAGGTGTCGGACGAAATGGTCGAGGAGAAGAGACACAATCTGCCGCAGATGCTGCAGATTTTCATGGCCGAGTAAGAAGGGAGCTGGCATGGAGCGTGTGTGTTTGCGCATGCCGGAGAACGATAACGAGAGAACAAGGGGAGAAATGCGAGAGGAAGGGAGGTTGGAGAGTGGTGACCTCGGAGGGAACGATGTAAGTGCTGGAAATTACGACAAACGATCCTCCGAGCGAGCGCTGCACAGACTTTTGTGGAGGAATCAATCTTCTGTTTTTGCTTTCTCTGCTAACACGAACCGATGCGGGCGAGCTGCGAGACACGCTTGACAACGACTGGGCTGTGGGACGGCGAGAACACAAGGTCGAAGCTGGGATGATGAATATTGATGACTTGGACACAGAAACGTCAGGGCCGAATCCGTTGGTGATTGGTGATCGGTTCACGACTGACATTGACAAATACGTTCATATTCGGGTCTCTCTACCTGTGTGTGTAGGTGCTCGACATGTATGTACTCTGCACATTGGCAATTAGGTAGGCAGGCACGGTGGCAGGCGGGCACATAGTCGTGGCTAGGTACATGGTACATAGCAAACACTGATTTTCATTTTCGTTTTCATTTTCATTTTCATTTTCATTTTCAATGCCTACATACATACCTAGGGACACTAGTAGTACGGTCCCTCTAGTATCTACCTACCTACCTACCTACCTACAAACATACATACATACACACCTCCTATCCGTAGGTATGAATACTAGGCATATGACAGTATACATGTATGAATGTACTGTATTGTATACTCGGTACATGCATATGGCTCCCCTTTGCCCCTGAAGCAGGAACAGGGGTTACATGTACTCTTGTAACTCTGCAACTCTGCAACTCTGCGAGTCTGTACCTCATACTTGTACCGTGTACTCACTGTAGAGCACTCAACTGACTGAGACCGCCTCCTACTGCCCTCAATCACCCCAATCCCCAATCCCAACCCCCCTTTTTTCACCAGCCCTCGTTTCCCTCTGGCATATACAGTTACATTCACATACACATGGCCGATTCGTGCCTGGGTTTCCAAGGTATAGAAAATCTTTCATTCAGCCAATACCAGGCCGTGACTCCCTCATCAGATAGGAAAAAGGGAACAGTGAAACCCCTCCCGAGCACATTGTTGAAAAAGTAGTAACGAGTCATCCATTCAAAAACGCCCGCTACATGGTATCCACTAAGGAAAAGAACACACACACACACACACACTCAGACAGCTTTTGGCATCTCGTTTAGTCAATTTCCATCCGACTGGCAACGGGTCTCGGTGCGGGCAGTTTTCCACTGCCAGATGGTGCCATCTCCGTTGCGAATGGAGCATAAGCACTTCCGCTCATAGGCTTCTCGTCATCCTCGACCGTCTGCGGCTTATTGACGTAGGGCTTCAGTCCCTTGTTATAGTTGTGTGCACAGATGCAGGCGTACGTGATTGTGACAAGAATCAGAATGATGGTCAACACAGCGAAGGTGGTGAGTTCCTTTCGAGCTGGGAGATAGGGACCCTCCCATCCAGGCGAGTACATGCGGACCATCTTGAAAATAAAATAGGCCAGACCGCCAAAGTAAAGTATCTGCATACAAGGTTAGGGAGGAGCCCAAAGCGGCGGGATTGGATGTGTATACTTACAATGACAACAATGGTGCCAAACAGGGACTCTTTGCGGACGAACCACGCAGCTGCTAGAAGAATGAAAATGGTGATAGGCATAGCGGCAATGGTGAGGGCGAACTCGACTTGTCGTTGGGTGACAATGACCACAAACTGGACAGTAAACCCGAGGAAGAAGAAGAAATCAAACTTCAACAGGGCGATGTAGACCTGGTATTGGAGGTAGCGTCGTTTCATCCTTAGGTCGGCCGAAATCCTCTTGTAGATTGTCCATGCAAATTCGTCGTACAGTTTCCAGGCACAGCCGGCCATGAGCACTGTCCCCACGGCTAGAATACAGGGAATGGCGATCAAAAATGGTTCGGTATCTGACCAAATGTTCTTGCGGATGTAGTCATCTTCAGCCAGCGTCAAAATCGCATCCCTGATCTGATCCATCTGGACGGAACCGTAGATGAGTAGGCCGACGTTGTACATCACCAGGCCAATGACCTGAATGGTATTCTTCATTCGCAGAGCGTCCCAAACAAGGACTAGCTGGTACAAAAACCCGAAAATATACAAGGTTAAAAAGGTTGGAATCGTACGAGACGAGGTCAGGGTGCCGGGAATGCCTTCGAGATGGATTTGGAAATGGGCAAAGACATAGCTGGAAAACCATTAGCACTGATCCGACGTTCAACAGACAATCATCAGCCTACCTCTCAAATGCGAGAATAATCATTGCCTGGACTAGGGCAATAATGGAGAAAGTCCATGTCCACTTTGAATTTGGCCGATACATGATTGATATGGATTTTCTCTTATCAAAATCATTCATCGCATAACCCTCGCGATGGTGATAGCCTCCGGGCAATGGGTGATAATTGTCAGCCTGACCTCCGAGGAGGGAAGCGCGAGACTCGTGAGCGCGAATTTTGACGGCTTGAAGCGCAGCGGAGGTGAAATCCCTTTTGACTGATCTGGGCTACCACAACTCTTGGGGGTTGTGGTCCGGCTCAGCGACGTTTCAACGTCGACCGTCGAAGACTGTCTCGGTGATACAGGTATGGGACTTGAGGAGACTTGAAGGCGGCAGGAGGGTCAGTCAAGAGTAATGGCTTGGGTCAAAGAGCGAAAAGAGTTCTCTCGGTTGGGCTTGCGGCTGAAACTCAGGAGGGGGGCAGTGGCAGGTGAGGATTGGTCCAGGGCGCGTCTGGAGCGGGCGAAGCTGGCGAGCCAAGGCAGTAGTAGGCAGTGTCAGGTGGTATAGGCCTGTGTGATGGATGCAACCTGGTTTGGACGATTGAATTTGATGGGGTGATATGAATTCAACGGAGCGAGAGAAGGAAAAGCGAATGTATACAAATGATAGAATCAAGGAGATGATGAAGTTTCGATGATCAGGAGTGTGATAATTGAGACAGCTGGGTTACAGGACTCGGGGATCTCGTCAGCTCTAACTACTGTAGGTCATGTCGAGAGGGATCCAGGCACGCGGGCACTGGAACGGGCAGGACGGTTAGGGCATCAGGGCTCTGGCACATTGTTGGAGGGGCGCTGGGGAGGCTTGTTAGTGGGCTGAGCGAATGGTCGCCCAACAAGCCTTGAGGCACTGAGGCACTGGGTAAAGTGGGGGCCGGAGGCGGCTCGATTTCGCCCCCAAAAAGGAATCTGAAGTCGCTCAACTCTGGTGACTGGGCAAGCAAGAAAGAGTAACCAACTCTCTGGCAGATGTTGCTGCATTGACGATAAAGTTTTCTCTTATTCAGTCAATCCCAAATACCGATATTCAGTATGCGAACTTGATGCATGCTGGGGGACTGATTGTACCTAGGTCATGCTCCCTGCAATAGAGTCCAGCCGTTTGAACCCTGGGAGTGTGACCTCTATTTTTGGGGAAGAGAGGGGGGCCAAGGCCTATGTGCAGACGGGCGCGCCTTCCTTCTCTGCAGGCCGTGCTTGCCGTCACAGAACGCCCAACAAGGAGGCCGGATCAAATATCGGAACAACTCCCTCATGAGGTTCTTCCTGTTTCTCTAAATGCGGCTAGCGTGCCATGCCATGCTGTGACACCGTGACAAACTTGCCAACGCGTTCCAACCTCACAGACTCAAGCTCTCCCCTCCCCCCTTTTGTTGTGGTTGAAAGCTGTGTGACCTTGTCTGCCCCCACCAGCACCAAAGACATCCTACTCTCTGTTCTTCCATCTCGATCCATCTCTCAAGCACGCCAATCCCAGGTGAACAACGCAGAAGCCTTTATGTCGATTACAAAGATTCCACTGCAGCACCTGACCGCTCGACTTGTCATCTCCCCAGCTCCAGGCACACTGGGTGAATCAACTGCTGTATTAAAGAAGCTTCAATCCCTCGGCCCTGTACTCTCATTCAGGACGCGTAACACCACTGTCTCCAGCAATGCGGAGCAGCTGGAGGTGGATGTTGTTTTCTCGTCCCATGCCACTCTCGAGAAAGCCCAACACGCAAGCCCCTTTGATGTGAAGGTGAACTATCAGCTTCCCGATCCAAAGCTCCAAGATCCCTACAATGTTCGCAATCTCCAGTCGAGACGACGACCTCAGCCCAAGACTATGACCTGTCGCGTCCAATGCAACGACGGGTTTCAGCCTCCCAGTCAGAACGATCTTTCTACTGGCTTCTCACCGAGCCTGAAGACCAGGTTATATCAAAGCCTCACCGACTTGAATCCCCCACCTGGTATTGCGGCTGGGCTGGGCGTCTTCGATGTTGACAGGGAGCACCTTTGTTCAACCGCACAGTTTGTCGACAAGCCTCCAGGACTCGCACAACTGTATCGGTCCTCGATTGCCGATCACCCCACAACCCATCAAGCTTCATCTGCAGCCTCAGTCGTCCAAGATGATCTATCAGAAATCCAACGGTGACCAAGCCTTGGCTAGCTTGGGGAAGCGGCCTCCGTGCTTCTCACAAAGCCTTTCCGGCTTCGCGAGACCTGCTGTGATTGTTCCTGAACCCTATTTGACCCCACAAAGCCTTGTATAGATGACCCCTACTGCTCGACAGGCATCTGACCCTTTCATGGGATATATCTTCCCACTGTGAAGAGCATGGCATGCGTCCACAATATCTGAGGGGTGCGATCGGACGATCTCCTCGAGGATAACATTCTTTGGTGCGCGCCACCATGCAAAGCATTACTCGGCGTTTCTCTTGACCGAAAGCTCATCGGCTTTCATCGCGAGGGAGAAATGCGGCATTAACCCATCCGCTGAGTACAGGATGGGCAGGAATAAGAAGATCACCCCTCTTCAAAACCACTGTCTCGTGCGTCTTGGGTCTCATAACCCATATCCAGATACATGTGTTTTCTGCTCTGCGATGGACGGGTACCTTCCAGCGGTGCAGGGTGTAAGTATCCTGATTCCACATCAGGCGAAACCAAATCCCGTTCTATAATATGTTAACACAATCCGCCGGCAGCCTTCGGCTATCGTCTGAGATCTGATATTACTTTCGTCAAGTCTTGCAAGGGTGGTTGGTTCCTCAGTCTGTCCACACAATTTCACCACTTACATGCGACTCAAGGAAACATTTCAAGACAGACCTCTGACGACCATCGCATTCAAGGCAGTTCTAGCCGCGTCGAAGCGCGATGACGATCCCATGATTAGGCTGGATCACCACCGTCCATTCTTATCTTTACACGAACCATTTCGCTTCGGGCACACCACTGTTTCGCTGTCTTGCACTCTTGATCACAGTCGTAAGCCGACCTGGGATCGAGTACACTTGATGACTGTGCTTTTTCCTGCAAATATCAGGGCTCAAATGTCGTCCTTGCAACTACACCAAAGAGTATGAGACTCTGCGCGGAGAAGCTCATCCGCGGGCAAGAGAAAGCGCCACTGATACGCAAAAACCAAAGACCACGGAGACTATCAATAAAACAATAATCTCATCCACGATATCAGGATAACTCAGACGAAATTTCCTTATACAGCCGATCATGGCATTGCATCCTGTTCTTTCCCCGTTGGCCACCAGGGAAAGCATGTGGATAATCCATATCGATCCTGAGCGGCTCCCGTTCTAACAATCGACGAGCGAACGATGAACACTGAGAAGACAGCAAGACTACAAAAAAGCTGGATTTAGGAAACACTCAACTTGCAGAACACTAGTGAACACGCGGCTCGCTTGACAATTGGTTCTGTTCCTGTGTGCGACATACACACAACCTCAGCATATGTCCATGCCAGTACATGGTTGTCAGTACGCTTACCCATATCACCGAATTACAACTGTCGTATTATATGGATACGCCTGCGTAGCAGCGTGATCCTTATCCAGAGTCCATGAATATTTTATCCCTTTCAGGCCAGGTACGGCCAGTCACCTCCAGTGGTTGCAAATGCCGCCCGCGATACTGTAGCGATGCTGAGGCTTAGAAACCCAGGACCGAAAAGAAATCGGTTTACCGCCAGCTTCCACCATCTATCCTCCTCAACACAACGAACTGGATCGCACGAAAGCAGCTCTCGCCGAGGTTCAATTAGCTGAACAGTTTGATAAGAATCTCAAGCCACCGGATTGGACCAACAATGAGACGAAACCAGCCAACTACGACAAGATAGAAGAAACCCACTGGTACAAGTATGAAAATGCTACATCTCGCCCAGGAACGCCTTCGAATATCGATCCAAGACAATATCTAGTTGTCACTTGGCTCATATCAGTGATCATTTGACCTACTTTGAAGGGATTACAACAAGACAGGGATCTACATTCATCGACACCGATTCCCTCGTCATGAAAACATCTCCAGGAATCTCTCTGGAAGAAAAACAAGGATCAAAGCTGTCAGATGGTTACTGATACCTGCATTCCCGGGAATTAGACGGCAAGACTCGATCGTAGCCGGACGGATACAGTCCAGTTGCAGAGGTTGAACAATGCGGTCGCACTGGACCAGCGGGCTGACAGTCTCAAGAGTCTCTTGTCGAAGAAATTCTGCCTCTCGTGTCCCCCCAACGTCAAGGTTGATTGACGCTGGATTTGACTTTGCATGGGCACACGATCTTTTTGGCTTTGTTAGTAGCGTTGCTAGAAACGAAAGGGTATACTCTTTGTTCTAGAAGTCAAGACCTTATGGGCATCGACGAATTGCTTGTTCTCCGCTTGTGCGAGAAAAGAAAAAAATGAAGAGAAAAAAAAGGGAAACGAAAGGAAGAAGCGAGAAACAAGAGAGGGGAGAGCAAAGAGGAGATAAGAAAGAGGAAGAGACATCTCTCCCGAGAAGGCCGCACAAAGGTCCATTCGAGGCGGAATCGACGACCTACTCGACTTGGAGTCCTGGGTCGTCGCCCAACTTGTTGCCGCTCTCGTTCTCAGTTGAGAAAGTGCCTAAGAGCGAAAGGGAAAGGGAAGAGCTCCAGGATCGAGAAGAGACGACTATGGAAGTCGACCCACTGGTTTGGCTAAGACCAAAAAGAAAATAACAATTAGATGTAAGAAAAGAAGTGAAGAGAAGGGTCGTGTCATCCATTGTATGACCCAAGGACCAGCTTTGGAAGTCGAAAGGTTCCTGAAGAGGGAACAAAAGCGAAACGGAAGAGTCGAGCAGGAAAATGCCCAAGGGTGGGCATTTCAATGACATTGTGGGCCGGCATACACGGCTGAAGATCCCTGTTTCCGACACACGGTTGCAACTTTGGGGGCGGGCGAGGCCGGTCAGTCTGAGCCAAACATTGGCTCAGAAAACCGACGATTGTCATAACAAGCTCGCTGAGCTCGAAGATCTCTACCAGACAGAAGAGAGAACGTGAGCGGCGCGATCGCATGCTCGTGACCCTCCAGGCTCTCCTCACTGGGAATATCGGAGAATACCTGGCAATCCTACCGGGAAGCCCGACAGAAGATGAGGAGCGTGCATACGCCGGGGTCTCCAAGCTCTGGCTAGGCTACATGGCGGGGAATGATCTGGACATGGTGGACGATGAACGGGACAGCGTCAGCATATCCACTACGAGCCTTACCGAGCAGCCGCAGCTGCCGCAGGCCGACACAGAAGGCGCAGGCGAGGGCGAGGACCCGCACACAGACTCCGACGAGCCAACTTTGGATATTGACACTATAAGAGACTGGCGGGACCCTATCACTGGGATATCAGGCCGGAAATTGACAAGGCGCTGGAAGACTTCTTCGATGTGCTCATCGCCCGAGATAGGGCGGAAGCTACCCGGGTCGTTGCCCGGCTCGAAAAGGAGGCCGAGGGCTTAGGTGCCGGTAATGGCATATACATCGACTCTGCCGAAGCAGCATGCTGCGCTGGCAGAAGAAGAATTGCATGGTAGAGCCGTGAAACATCGCGCCGCTGTGGAGGAGGGATCCGGTGCTGTCGCAGACATCAGCGAAGAAGACCTCGACGACATAAGACGCGAGAGATTAGAACTCTACCGACTGATTCGGACATGAAGTTGTGGGAAGACCTGTACCAGCAAGCTGTGGTCATCTCTGGCTGTGCCAAATGAAACTGTCTGCTGAGGGTTGGGGGGTCGAGGCTGAGTCGGACTCACCGCCGCATGGACCGGTAGGGGGATTGTAAGACTTCCAAACACGACTCCGAAGGCATACAGATTTGTCGCCAAAAGGCCTGTGAAGATCGAGGTCGGTCCACTCGTGAACACAAGCAGAATTCGTGGTATTTCTATCTGTCTATCTGTCTCTCTGTCTGTATGGCTGGATGGATGGCTGGATGAAGGATCTATCGATTAAAGAGAGCGAAGTTAGGAGATTGACCCCAACAAGAGACGGAACGCGATGAGCCCCAAATCGAGGTCCTGACCGAGGTGCTGGAGGGTTTTGGGGATCAAGGTCGAGGCTAAGCATACACCTCGCCAACAGCCAAGGTGATAAATGATGCATACAGCTGGCTATACCTTAGCCCTGACGTGGGCGATGGGCTGACCCAAGAAGAACCTAGCACAACCTTCGCGGCCGGGGGACAGGGGGGGATGGTTTCCTCGTTGGGTCTAAGGTCACGCCTCTGGCCACGTTTGTGCTCCACAGGCCATTACCTTCCCAAGAGAAAGCCCTATCACCCTGGCGACGTTTCGCCAAATGGTGCCGGACCCACATGTGTCGCTATCACCATCCTGAGGATATAAAGCCGGGTGTGATCAAGATGGAGGTTTCGGAGACCACGAGAGTGGACATCGTTGAGATGCCGTTTGGCTGTCGAGGTCAAGGTCGAGGTCGCGGTCGAGGTCGCGGTCGAGCAGGAAGGGCCATGCACAATAACGCACATCACCAAGCAGCACAATACGATACCTAGCACGGCTAAGGCACACAACAACAACCCCTCATGGAAGATCCCATGTCCGGCATGGAACATGACACCACACAACACCATTCCTCGGGTACATCTAAGTACAATAACCTCGACTACGACCAGACCATTGAAGACCCTTCCAGTAGAAGCACCACGGCTAACCCCATACAAGGCCTAGCCACACGACCTTCCTCCATACGAAGTCCTTTTCTAGGAAGGTATAGACACCATATCCGATGCTGAATATAGCTAGGCTACAGAAGGCCTATCTGCCCAGCGGTCTCGACAAAGACGGTGGGATAGACACAAAATAGGTGCTAATACAGAGACTTTACGACAATACTCCTATAATTCACGTTGTAGTCTTCAAGTCTAAGATTAATACAGGTATAACCGATAGAGACAATCTATCGATCTCCCCAGGGTTTTATAAAATTATCTCCATAGTTAAAGGTGTAGAAGTAGTGTTGCCAGGCGCGTGTTTTGCCCTAATAGTTTCGTGGTCTGTCCAACCTTTTTTTTGTCGGGACCCCCTCCCTGCCTACCTAGACTAGAAGCACCTTAAGAGGTAATATCATTATTCGCGTTCGCAACAAGGTAATTCTCGCACGGGAGATGAAATAACCGCACGTTGACCGTGGCAGGTACCCCCGACTTACTACTTCCTAGGTAGGTAGACGGCATCCCTCGCTCGGCACACAGAATAACCCATAGGTAGTTACCCCGAAACGACGACGCCCAAAACTGATAGCGACATACGTAGATGTGACTCCTCCTACTTCCCCAATATAGAACGGGGGGAAAGCCGTGCCGGTCCATCCTCGGCCCAGACGAGGCGAGGCGAGGGATACGAGATGAACGGGGAACAACACCAAGACACCAATCTTATAGTAAGAGGAGAAGAACGCTGAAGGGCGACGCAAAGATGGTCAGTATAGCTAGCTGACAAAGGACGAGACAGAAGGACGAGACAGATCAGAGACAAATACGAAAGATGCAATAGATGATCAATTCAATTCCAGGTATAGAAAGAAAGAGACGTGCACACATACGAACTATGGAAAAAATCAAATCAAACCAATCTCAAGGGTATCTCTTTTGCGCAAAAATTCAATCAGCTTTGGTGCTTCCTGGTGCCATTCCCACTACCTCCCCTCCTCCTCAGAGGTCTTATTATAATCCCAGAAAAACCAAAGCACCCCCTCTGTTCTGTGAAGGGGCTCGGGGAGTTGATCCCTTCTCTTACTCGTTCATTCAGTCATTTGTTCTTCTTTCCAGATTGCAAATATGTCATCCAACCTCAAGTCCAAAAACGCCAATGCCATGCTCAGATGCCCGGGAAAGATTCGATCGGCATCTTAGCCCAAATTCCAAACAAACATAGATCAAAACCCAGAACAGAATAGATAACTCGGCTCGGTCGAGGCACCAGCTCATTCCGCCGGAGTAGTAGTAACTTTTGTGCGTAAATGATAGACGGTCGGTTGACCTCAATAACGTTGCAAGGTACCGCTCTCACAGTGCGAGAATGACCATGGCCGACAGCGATAGCGGAGGTCTTGAATATCTCGAGCCTGGCCGTCTTTGCCACGCCCAGGTATATTCCTGCAGCGACTTGTGTGAGTCATCTGAAAGAGGCAATCAAGCAAGCAAGGAGGAAGAAGCTCGATGCTTAGTGAAAAGAGAGAGAGGGAGGGAGGGAGGACTCCAGCGTCTCAGGCCAAGCTCCCGTTCTCTGGTGCGTAATTCTCTTCCGTCCATGTCTCCCTGGTGCGGTGTTGGGCCCGTCTCGATGGCGGCTTCTCATCTTCCTTTTCGGTGTCATCACTCCCTTCTTCGTCCAACTGCAACTCCACGTATCTCTCAGCTTCTGTTCACTCTCTTCCACCCCTCTTCGTCACACAAAGAAGGGCATAATGGGGGCGATCTTCGGGAGAAGAAATAGTGAGACTGGGAAAAGCAAGGGATCTATGCTTTGGAAGCAGTGAGACTCACAGCTTGGGTTCTAGGTCCTCCCGGCCTGTCCCTCGCGCTGTATGTGTTGAAAGCAGATCCAGCGCGGTATTCGGGTGGTGCGCCGGCATCGACGCCCGAGTGAAGTACTGGTGCTGTAAACGAAGGCGGTGGGATTGCGGCATGGTCCGCAAGACTCAGATGTCGGGTGCCGGGGATAAGCATCGCTGGAGAAGGCTCTTCGTACATTGGACTTTCGAGGCCCAAGCCAGCTTCCTCCAGTTGGCGAGCTTCGTACAGTCCGAATTGCTGTTCGATCTCCGCCGCGATCGCAGCGTCCGTTTCCTGAACTTGAACGGGCGGGGCTCCTCCTTCCGCCGACACCTGTATAGGTGTCTTGAGAGTAATATGGCTGCTTGAGACATTGGCACCTGGAGTACGAAAGGAAATGTTCAGCTCAACAGAATAAGTCCTTGAAACAATACAAGAATGGAATGTCGGCACAAAAACTCTGGGTCGGCCGCTGCTCGATGGCGTTGGAAGTGCGATCGGAACCGGCAGGGTGGCGGTGTAGAAAGGCGAGCCCATTTCATACGTGCACGTCGGTTCCGGGATCGATGATGTCGATGTCGTAGAATAGCCCGATGGTCGTCTAGAAAGATCCGACGAAGAGAAGCTTCCGCGGTCTGAAGGATCGTGGCGGACCCAAGAGACAGTCGATAGACAACGCGACGATAAGGCGACGGTTTCTGGATATATACCATGCAAAACGGACCAATTGTCATGTTTTCGAACCTCTGGAATGATTCTATACGGGGCAGCGCCGAAAAATGTATAGGCCTTCAATTTGCTGGCGATAGAGTCCAGCTGAGGAGGAACGTCGTCTGGAGAGGTAGGATCGAAGCGCAAATGGATGGTCGCCATTGAAGAAACCGGTTCTGTCTGCCGCTTCTGTGGGTGCGGAAGGCGGAGACTTCTGGGTTGAGTCGTCTCGGCCGTCAAACTGCCCACCTTGCCGATCTTGAAGAGGCCCTTTCTGACACTCTTCTCCTTGCGCATGACATGGTCCGACAGGTTGTCGTCAGTGTTCAGTGGGGGCGCTTCTTCTCTCGCAGGAATGATCCTGACGCGCTCCTCCTTGTCGGCCAGCTCCAACAGCCTGCCGACGGCGTTCCATCTTGTGATTCTGGCGCGGACGCTGTAGGTGATCTTGGACATGTCTGGTGCAAGGTCGTCCATCAGTGTACGACCGTCTCCGGAGACGCTGGGGTCGCCCAGGCTTGGGGGCAGCTGCAAATGTTGTTTCCTGATCTCTTCATTGTCGGCTTTGTGCGAGCAGATGAAGGGGAGTAATCTGTCGGGGACGACAAATGTGAAGGGGATCGAGTAAGTGACACCGGCCTCGAAGGTGCTGCCTTCCGGCAAGAGGCTTTCGGGAATCGGCTGTTGCACTTTTAGGAACGTATGTCTCCCTGTCGTGCGACCCGTGGTGGGGGCAGTGGTTGCGATCTTCTCGACGTATGTACAACTCCGGCCCTCGAATGTGATACTGACGTCGTCGAAAGAAGTGTCCTTCTCGAATCGGATGTCCACGCGGCCCTTGATCTCGTCATATGTAGCGTACGAGTGAACGAATTCTGCGTCGCCTTCTAGGACGATGTCGATTTCGCTCTTCTTGCGTAATCCGATCGCCGTAGCAATTGCTGAGCCTCGCCTCGAGGAGGACGGGAGGGCCAACGATCGAGACCGAGCCGAGTAAGAAGGTACTGCGGAGGAGAGAAAGGAAGGCATCTCGCCGGAGACAATTTGTCGAGGCGTGCTCATAGTGAAGAAGGAAGAAGAGAAGGAATCAGGAAATGCAAGGATGAATCACTGGGCGGTGATAACAACCGGTGACTTGCTAGCGATTGGGATTTCGGCCAACGGCCAAGCCGTCAATCCTCTGGGAACGAGGGGCTGTCGTCGACGCGATTACCAGATTCGGGCAGTCCAAGAC